AAAGTACAGGTTATGTGACCTCTAAACAGGTTAGAGGAGGCCATACTAGCCCGCTCTAGGACATCCGGCCTTACGCCTACCTTAATGTGCTAACTATTGCTCTAAGCAAGCTTTGCTTTTACAGATCATTTATGAACTGTTGTAGTATTTTAAGTCTTTAGATAAAGTCCGCAAATCGTGTGACAGTAAAGAAGCGGACTAGGATGCAGATGAGAAAAAGGAAGCGGTGGAAGTACGAAGAGTCTGGACTTCGTTCGCCTGTGTGCTTAATGGAGAGATATATTTGGACATGCGATCGCGACACGGGAAGTAGTAGCTTGAGACGTAGCTATACGAAATAGCGAGGGCGTGCATTGTCTTGGACGTGTTAAGTGTACAGGTGGTGATTGGTGCGAAACGTGGGCTGGGGCACTGACAGCACCGATCCTGTCCTGAGAAAAAGTTAAAATATGTCAACTTAATAATACAAACTCGAGTAGAGTGAAAAAAGCTATGATAAGTCCAAAAGTAGATATCACTCCAGATATGTATCCTCTAGCGTGGGTGTTGTATCGATTCGAACCGAGTTGAAGATCCTTTAGGCTGGAACAACAAGCGGCCGCAACCTTGAATTAGAAACCCGGAAATTATCGCCAGGAGTAAAAACGCTTGTGTTAATAATGTTACTTAAGATTAGACCATTGATTTGAGTTCGTTGCAACAACTATGTGGGCATCAGAGTGAAACATGATCGCTACTTTCGGAAACGCCCAAGGCTCACGATGATGCCAGGAAGCTATGACCGGCCATCGGAACGTAGTGAAGACTGATCATTAGCAAATAAGATGATGAGAAAGGATGTAGAGCCCCTATGACACCGCCCACGCAACCTAGAAATGCGCGGCCAGCTCTAATGGTGCACCAAGGAATTCATCTCCGCATCGCGAAATCGCAACCGCTCAATGGAGCACTCAAAGCGCAATCAATACAAAACGTAGAGAAGCAGGTGAGACGAGGGGCTGAACTGTCTGATGGATGCGTTGAAGGAACAAAAAAATGAGGTGGAGGAGAAATTTTATCAGTAAATTGAGCCAAGGCGCTAGTGCCTATATAAGCTTAGCGGTGTTTGGACTGAGAATACCTTCGCGCACCATGAACATCGACAATATTGATCTATCACGAAGTTTCTTTTCCTCCTTATCCGTCCATATCCTAAATTACATCGTGCCTTCTATCTTGAAGCGCCCCTTGAAGGTAGGTTTTACCCCCCTTGATTGCCAAGCTTATGTATTGCGTGTCCATTAGTAATTTGCTATATTGTCACGATTTGATGCTTAGCTTCATCCATCACGTCCATTCCATGTATAGATTCCATCACCTATTTCCCTGAATAGTGTTTCTCAAACATTCCTCCAAGTACCTAAGGCTCCTTTCCCACGGTACAGTAGAGTACACTCTTATGACGATGTCTTCATGGCTAATCTTTGACGTAGTTAGTGGAGCCTCACTCTGACATCACAAAACCGAAATTACTTTCTCTTTACAAATGTAATATTTACTAACAATTCATCTTGTGAGTTCTTCTTTCGCTTTGCAGCAATCAGCTGACCGGAGAGCACGTTTCTCCAATGGAGGTGTACGATAATCTCAAAAATAAGAAATTTTCCTGCTCTGTGATCTTTAGCAAATACCTTTCACAACTCTTTGCATCACTTATATCCTCGGCACCGATAATGGAGACTTCACTGAGACGCCCGTGAAGGATTCGGAAGCAGTCTAGAAAGTGTAGAATATGGCGGTTTGGTAGGACATGGATAAGCACTTGACGATTGTTCACTATTGGAGTCACCTCAACATATGGGCCTTTTGCAAAGGCCACAAGAGTTTAAGAAGGCAATATCTTCCTCCTCACCGTTGTAGTTCATCCTCATGAATTCTCCTGATCAATCAATGAATACCTTAAAAGGGGAAGGGGGAGGGGGGGAAGGAATAGCTTCGGAACTTAACTATTATTTAGCTCGATAGGAATGCCCACTGTGTCATTGACTTCTGTACTTCAAAATCTTCAAGCTGCACGTGGCCACTACACCTTCAAGTCTCCGCCGAGGGCTAAAGCGTTTTACTGCCATCAATTTTCGTTAGCGAGTATTGTTCTCTATTCTTTACAAGCTTGGCAATACACATCACCACTGTGAACCGCATTTAGGATGGAGCTTTAAGTACTGTCGTACTCAATGGATTGGTCCCCCTCTTGCGTTGAGGAGGATTATAGTTGTAAACTCTCGCAAAAATGCACCTTGACATAGGTCTGATTATTACCTTTTATATTGTTTTTGTGAGTATTACTCAGATGTTATCACGCTAACAAATCTACCATCAGAACCCTGCATTGTTTTGTACGCAACTGGAATGATAGATTATACACACCAAAATTGCCTGAGGTTATTTGTTGCCCCACGAGGCTAGAAGTTGACAAACATGTCGTAAAGGTGACACTAACAAACTAGAAAAAAGAAATTAATGGCGGAAAATGTGAAACCAAGGCATCAATTGACCTACAGCGACCGAACCACGGTCTGAGCGTACATAATCCTTGTCTTTCCGACGCCAATCTATAGTCGTGTCACCTTACAAACACTACGTCAAGTACAGTCCAGAATTACTTCCTACTTGCTCCTCTTGTAGATCTTCTTGAGGAACGTCTCGAAAACCTCCTTCTTGAGCCCTTCGGATTCGTCCACCTTGTCAATCTTGGCCCGGAGATCTGCGACACGCTCCTCTTCCCACTCCGAGTAGAAGTCCGCAAGCTTCAGCTCATGGTACAAGGCTTTGACCTTCGCCTCGCACTCAGCGTTCTTTTGGCCATAGTTTTCCTCGAGAATCTTGCGCTGCTCAGAGGTGACCTTCTTAAGAGCTTGGTTGATCAACCACGAGCATTTGTTGTCCTGGATGTCGGTACCGATTTTGCCAAGAACTTCTGGGTCGGCGAATGCATCGAGGTAGTCGTCTTGTGCTTGGAAATACTCGCCCATAGGAATTAGGATGTCGAGAGATGTCTGAAGGTTCTTCGGCGTTGCGGCACCGCAGAAGTGAAGTGCCAAGGCAACAGGGAGGTAGAACGAGTAGTAAGCAGTTTTGAAGATGACGATGAAGGTAAATTTCTCAAGACTGAAATTGTCGAGGTTCACATCATCCTCGGGTGCAGTTAACAGGTCACACAGCTGCCCGAGCTCAGTTTGGAAGGTGACCTCGTGGAACAACTCGACCATGTCAATGTAGCTCTTTTCTTTGCGGAAGTGCTTTTTCAGGAGCAAATAGATGGCAGACTCGAGCATGAAGGCATCGTTGATGGCGATCATTCCGACTTTCGGCACGAGGTACCAACATGGGTTTCCACGGCGGGTTTTAGAAGAGTCCATAATGTCGTCAGAGACGAGGAAGAATGCCTGGAGCAATTCAATCATCCAGCCCAGAAGAGCAGCGCGGAAATAGTCCTCCGAGTCGGGGGTCAGAGTTTTGTTGAGAAGGAGAGAAGAAGTGTCGACGACAGACATTCCTCGATTGCATTTCCCACCAACGGTATTGTAATTGAGTTGCTGGAAGGGTCAGGGTGAACATGGTGTTAGGTGGAGTCTGGTGGGAGATACTTTGACGAACCAATCAAGTGACTGCTGTGGAAGTTTATATTGTTTGCAGTGGCTTTCGAGGTCTACCGTAATGCGGGGCCAGACGCTCTCGAATTCTTTCAGAGTGGTCGGCATCTTGGTGTATTGACGTTCTCACAAATTAAGAAACCGGGGAATGTCCTGCGGTATGCAGCAGGGAGGGATTGAAGGGAAGGGAGGGCGGTGAGAGGTAATTTCGGTTCGGATCGCGGAGAAACTGTTTCGCCGTTTATTGTTTTCGAGCCCCCCACCATCCAAGAGCATTCGCCAAGATAAAAGACGCGTTCAACGCCCTCATATCGCGTTTCAAATTTTACCACTCCTGGTTCAGATGTCGAGGTGATCAGTTTTCCTAGCGGTTGATTTTCTTCTCAATGAGCACTTTATCCCCTGCCGACGAGGCGCAATTGAAGGCGCAGCTTCAGGACGCTGTCGTTTCTTGCACCGAACGCTGCCTTTATCAGTCCGCAAAATGGTATTGCGTCTTCCATTTAGCGGTACATATGTCTTATCTAACTAATATTAGGGCTGCTGAATTGCTGAACTCGTTACCTTCGTCCGACGACAATGGCTCCGACACCGAAATTGACTCTCCCATGTCCGATGCTCCTCCCCGTACCCCGATAAGACAGCTCCACAAGGATGCCACAGAACTAAGACTCGAGGCCCGTGAAATGCCAAAGTTTCTCTTGGCGAAGTCTTTGTTCGACTGCCGAGAGTACGATCGATGCGCCGCCGTCTTCCTCCCTAGCACCCTGCCGAAAGGCTCTATAAATCCCATACCTTCTCCCGCCGCAAAAGTAAAGCACCCTTGGAAAGGGAAGGCAAAAATGGGTACTCCATCAAAAGGAACGACTTCGATAAGGTCGGTACTGGGGCTGAGCCAGAAAGCGCTGTTCTTGGCTTTGTATGCAAAGTACATTGCTGGTGAGAAGCGAATGAACGAGGAGAGTGAAATGATCTTAGGTCCTCAGGATGGGGGCGTAACTCTAAACAAGGAGTTGTCGGGTGTCTCTGCAGTACTCGAGGAATGGTTCACTAACCTACCATCGAGCGGAAGACAGCCGCAGGGATGGTTGGAATACTTATACGGCATCGTCCTCGCGAAGGGAAAGAACGAGAAGTTGGCCGTTGACTTCTTCGTTCGTAGTGTAAACCAGTATCCCTACAACTGGGGCACATGGCAGGAATTATCCAGTCTCTTGGGGACGGTAGAGGAAGTAAGTTAGCCGGCTCTGTCATATTTCGTTAGCTGACGGGACTCTAGCTCCAGCAAGTTCAAATGCGGCTGCCTCAAAATATTATCTCCTTCATATTTCATATCAGCGCGTCTCAGGAACTCTACCAGTCGACAGAGCAAGTCCATAATTCTCTTACGCAAATTTTGTCCTTCTTCCCCACCTCTGCATTCCTGCAGACTCAGCGGGCACTCTTGCATTACCACACTAAAGATTTTGAAGAAGCCGAGCAAATCTTCTCCAATCTTCTCATCACAGACCCGCACCGCATCGACTCTCTGGACAATTACTCCAACATTCTTTATGTAATGGGTCTAAGGCCAAAGCTGGCTTTTTTAGCTCAACTTGCCACCGCAACCGACAAATTCCGACCCGAAACATGTTGTGTAGTAGGGAACTACTACTCCCTAAAATCAGAACATGAGAAGGCTGTTATGTATTTCCGTCGAGCACTTACCCTAGATCGAAACTTCCTCTCTGCCTGGACGTTAATGGGTCACGAGTTTGTGGAAATGAAAAACACACATGCCGCCATTGAATCATACCGCCGTGCAGTGGACGTCAATAGAAAGGACTACCGCGCATGGTATGGCCTTGGCCAAACCTATGAAGTCTTAGAAATGCATTCCTATGCTCTATTCTATCACCAACGGGCTGCAGCTCTCCGTCCGTACGACCCAAAGATGTGGATGGCGGTTGGTCAGTGTTTTGGAAAGGTGGGGAAGGTCATGAACGGTATACGAGCATACAAACGGGCCCTAGTTGCAGGTTCATACTATGACGCTGGAGTAGGATCGAGCTTCGGCAGCGGCGAAACCCCTGGGCTAGGGGGAGGAGTCCTTGATCCTGATGTTCTATACCAGATAGCTTTGCTCTACGAGCGCATCCAAGAAACGACTGAGTGCTCAGCTTATATGGAGCTAGTGCTCGCTCAAGAAGAAGGTCCAGAATACGAAGAGTTCAGTGGGGAAGCTAGCGGTGGAGTCGGAGTTACCCCGACAACGAGTAAGGCTAGATTGTGGCTTGCCCGATATGAATACATGAGAGGCATGTATCAAAGGGCTATGGAGCTCGCAAATGAGCTGTGTCAAGATGGCGTGGAGGTCGAAGATGCGAAGGCATTAGTCCGAGATATTCGGGCAAGGATTGAGAGAGATAGGGGGGAGGGTAGATCCTCTTGAGAAACAGGACGTTGCATTTTGGCAAGGACCGCTGGTTTGAGGGGCATTGCAGGCGCATAGGTATGATACCCCAATCGATGACTTCGAAAATATCCTCGTACAATCCAACATTTGCAATTATCTGGTCCACCCACAGAATCCAAATTTCACAGTATGTGCGATTGGCCTTTGTTTCTTACCGGTTGACCAATTTCCATATTCTAGTTGGTTACTAACTTGTTCATAATATGTTGGTTCTCTTTTAAGACCCATATGGTCAACCGTCACGGTGAAATATGTTAAGACTTTCCTTCATAGTGATAATCGCATCCGCTGACCATGTCTGAAGTGCGCAGCAGTCGTGCAGGATACAGCAGGCCCACCCCTTCATAACTTTTTACGGCCGATATCTCACATCTCGATATGTCATGAGAGCACGTAACTACAAGGACGGATGGTTCCCACCCTTTGGTCGCGAGATACACGTTTTCTACCCAATTCCGGCCAACCTACTCGAACGTCTTGACGAAGAGGAACTGTGGGACTGTACTAGACTATAGATGGAGTCCTCTTCTATGGAGACATAATGCCTTATTCAGATCCTCGAGCGTTTATAGGCACTATGGATCGCATCGAAGACATCCTTCGTCCTCGGCATGGACATTGCGGGGGCGGTATGCGGGGTGAAAACGGCAATTTTGGCAATCCCTACTACCAGAAAATGTGTACGTCGGTGAGCGGGGCACTCTGGGAAATTGGTGAGTATTCAGGCGATGAGACCTTTTTGGGGATCTCCAAGTGCGGCCACATGTACGGTTGAGCATAAGGATTCTCGGATATGTTCAGCGGCGGATACGACGCCTCGTACAGCGGCTATCAACCATTTTCCGGATTCAGTTCTCAATATCAACCCTTTGACTCTGGGGGTAGAGCTCCAACATTCGAGTGCGATAGAGGCAGATCCTCTTCTCCGTTCGGTTCGGGACATAGATCTCCATCCTTAGGTGACGATAGCGGTTTCGGGGGTCCTCTCCCCCAATCCAATCCCCCTGACGGCTCTTGACGGTCAGCCTCTTGTAAGATGTACCCACCCCCTAATTCATTTGATAATATTAACTTCTTCGGTCTTAGAGCTTGTTGGTATTTCGACGATGGAAGATGCTGAAAACGCCCAGAAGAAAATAATATGACTACTCGGTATGCACTGAAGCCTGGTCGGGTTGATGCTTCTGGACATCGTCCAAAGAAACAAGGGCCTTGAAGTTCCCTTGCCAAATGACCGGGATAACTCCATTTCTTGCTACTTTCATTGAAATCAAATCGATTGCTTCCCACAATCGGCATGATGCGGATAGGGTCGCTTTGGCGCTCGGAACACATGATCTCACAAGTTTCACTATCAAAGTTAGGGCTGTCATAGAATGAATTTGTCAAGAGTAATAGTAAATAAGAACACTGAATAAAGAGTATGTCGTGTGGTCTTATCTCTCAAGTCGTTCATCGTGCACTCCTAGTTCGGCAACACCTACCCAACCCATCCATGACCAGCACGGTAGGTGGACTTGATTGTTTTGGCCGTGTAGCGATACAACGTATTGGTCATAGTGATTTGACCAGACCAAAATAATGACAAACCAAATCGAGATCGAGGATGTCCCCAATGGAGTTTTTCGCCAAAAATACGCTCAAATGCCTCTAAAACAGCTTGAAGGGCATCATGGATATCCTCAGGGCAGGTCAAGTGGCGTCGCGTATATTGTGAAACAGCACCTTGGTACATCTTCCGGAAAGTGTGACGATTAGTTGTTATCTGAGCTAGCGGTCCATCGATTCTCTTCCGGGATAATGGTCGGCCCTAATTGTGTGCAAACAATTCTGCACGTAGAGGTGTATCGAACTGTCCCTTTTCGTAGACATACGGAAGTTCGAGATGCGAATTCTCGCAAAAGAAGGCGCCATCGCAGACCCAGAAGACCTGCTCTTGAGTGAAGATAAGACTACGGCCTGGTAGATAGCCCTCTTGAAAAGTCCATGCTCGAGTATTCCACACACTTATATCTACACCTAAGTGACAGGAATCGTTAAGTCCTTGTCACAAGTCCACACAGGTCGGGGACTGCATATTATAACTAGGGATAGGCCAGCATGTTCGGATTTGTCGTCTGATGGGACATATTGTACCAGTTACTGTTCAAAAGAGCAAGCTCCAGGGTGGAGGCCGAGCAGACCGGCAATTGCATTCTTTTCAGAGGCGGCTGTAATTGTGATGAAAGCCTCTCGAGATATGTTTCTGTTTGCAGTAGCGGAGCTCTCCCAGCTGCACCACCTGCTCGTACTCAGGAGTTTCGTCTGCCTGCTATAGTCATATGCTGCCTACCCTGTTACCTAGCTCACTCCTTGCATATATATACCCTTAGGTACCCTCCTTAACTACCAATCTAGTTCCTCATGCCTCTGGTGCTCCCAATAGCTTCAAAGTTTCTCAGGCTGCGGAATCGACCCTCAATATCACTTTCCCATCGACCCTGGCAAATGCAGAGTATATCAACCCAAAGGAGTTCAATATCCAACATCCGTGCCAAATGGATGGCGTCTGTGATGGCTCACGGTAGGTGAACTCGTGGTAATGCGCCGTTGAGCTGGAACTGACCCTCTTTATCGTGTTCAAGCTTAACTTGCAAGGCATCTCCCCAAACATAGCTCGAAGCTGAATTCTGGACGTGTGCGAGGTCAAAATTTCACCGTATAGATAGAAATTTCCGGTTGACTTCGATGAGGCGAATAAACTTCTTTCGAAATGTTCTATAAAGTTGTTTGCTTCAATAGCGAAGTTTGAGTACTAACAAACTTACTGCATATCATTTTTTTTTGGCTGTTCTTGGTCAACGCAGGGGCTGATATCATGCTCCGTCTTACGTATATCTACCTAATGACGCAAGAGACCTCTGTTGATCACATTTGAGGATGAATAGCAATTGTTTCAACTTAAGCTTCTGGACAAAATGCTACTAGATAGAGTTAAACCTTTTCGAGCTAAACAGCATCATATATGACAAAAGCCACTCATCTTCCAATGCCTTGTTGCCGACTCCTAAAAATACACATCCCTACTTGAGCTGTTCACCTAGGAAGCTTACAAGATGGCTAGCAATATCGTGCTCTTCTTTACTGCTGCCTTTGTTCGATTTCTCAATACCTTTAACTAGCTCTACATCGGTTCCGTAGTCCTTCAAAACCGCCACAAAGAAAGCGAGGCTCACCAGCAACATCGACCCATGAAGATTGCTATGCTGATCGCTCATATCATTGCGATCTTCCGATAAAATCCACCACGACAGCATAGAATCCATCGTTGTAATATACATCCCACCTAACCACGGCAAGTTCTTCTTCGCCAGATGCTGATGATCGATACTCCATTCAGGCTGACGCATGAGGCCTCTCACAAGCAAAGGGGTCGGGGCGGCAAGGTCAGACACCTGCGTCGGAAAAGCAAGACACATTTGCGCGTTCGGAAACGCGAGGCCTTCTTCTGTGAGAACTCCTCCAGAAAATGCAATTATAACTTTGCGCTCGGTGGGCACATCGCCCTTGCATATCGTTACGCTCATATCGGTGAGTTGCAGAACATAGCTGGCGATATCTGGTTTTTCAGTCAAGAGCTTTGCAGCTTGCCATGCGATGAGCTCGCTTTTTGCTGGTGTACACTCGGTCCTTTGAAGGGAGTACATCCGGAGATCGAGAAGATTGCCAGATCGGCTCTCTTTTTCAATGCGCATCGGTCGGCCAGAATCTAGCACGCCGGTCGAGTAACAGCGCTTATCCACGAACACCTCGCCGTCTTGCTTGAATTTGTCCCGGGAAGGCTCGGACTTGATCATCGTCCTAGCAAAGGCCGCCGTCAAGCATATGAGCAGCTCGGCTATTGCTAGCCACCACTTCGATGACCGAAGCCCAAGGTAGTGGCAAACGAATGATAACGTTAAGAATAGCGTTACAATCCATGAGAGTACGAGTCGTTGTCGAGATGGAGACTTTAGCCAGACTGCTTCAAAGTTCATGGCCTTTGACTTGTTTCGTTGTAGAGGGGTCCCGGAAGTATCCATACTGTCTGGCTTTTTGATGGCAACGATAACACCAGTTTTCCATTCTGCTCCACGTCTATATGCTCGAACAGCGAGGTTGGCCGAGTCCTGGGAGTCGTATATCAACCATGCGGCGGCACTGACTCCAGCGAATAACCCGATGTAGCCGGCAATCACCATAACTGGCGCAGCGGATGTCCAGCCTTTATTCCAAAAGCTAAGGATCTGAACAGCAAGCATTGAGATTAGGGACATGCATGCGATGAAGAATGACCAAAACTTCGGAGTCGGAGGGCCCGCACTGAATTCTGATATCCCAGTGAATGTGCTGAGAAAGCTGACATTCAAAGGTCGTGGGAGAGTGAAGGGAGGGCTTTCATCTAACTTTTTAGCAGATGAACTCTGGCGGGAGAGCAGAGTCGATCCAGTCAATGATGAGTAGAAGGACCAGCCAGATGAACCGTGGCGAGAGGGCATGGGCCGAGAAGAAGATTTGGCCTGAACAAGTGGCTGTGAATTTCGATGAAGTTGACAGCAACCATCCCCAACATCTAGAACCTCAGAGATAATCGACATTATGGCTTGGGCAGATTCTTCATTGCCAACTTGAGAGGATATCCGAAAACACCAGTTTATATCCGCAGCACCTTGGGGAGCTCCTTTCATTTGAAGTCTGCTCTGGAAAGTTTCGCAGTGTCGGATTTGCTCCATGCACTCAACCACAGCAATTTCTGAGCAGCCACTCAGTGACACAACGGCGAGTGCCTGGCTGGGTGGATTTGGCACTGTTGACCGAACGATAGAACCGTCCACCATTTCCGCATGCACGCTTCCACAATTAACTCGAGTGACCTCCATTGCTGCCGCTGTTCTCGCTTCATGTTGGTATCCTAAAAATGACCTCAATGCATGAGCCCCGCACAGCCGTATCATACTGGTAAGGACGCTGAGCAACCCAAGTGGAGCAAACGCAAGGCTGAGGATGCTGTGAGCTCCTCGCATGTCTCTCAGGAGTTGTTTGGTATTTCGTTCACCAACAAGGAGGATAAGAGGTCCAACGCCTGATAATGCCTCCGCCCAGGCATCCACCCCAGGGTCAACAGTGCCGGGCGATGTAAGTCCTCGCGGAATAGGTAATGCTTGCGCAAACGATCCATTTGCAACGGCGACGAGAAGGAGGCGAAAAGACGACTCTGTCCATAACATTTTCGCGGTGGTGAAAAGCGAAAGTACCTGTTGATCTTGAGGCTTGCGTACTTCAAATTTCAGAGAGGGAAAAATCAGATGAGATTGTTCTTGTCAGGGCAAATTATGGTGGCTGACCTGATCCCGCGAAAGCGGCAGCAGGACGCGAGATGCATGGGTTGATTCAGCCACAAAGCGGCAACCACCACAACATCGATGTTTCTATCGTGATACACACTTCTGGGCTTGCTGGTGGGTAGTGTAACGCCAGTAAAAATCAATTCAGTCTAGAAAGGGCCGTTCGAGCTTTGGATCACATCTAGGAAGAGTGGGTTGCATTCTGACTTGAAGATGACAGTCCCAACCCTTTGCCATAACGACGTGCGTTGAGACGGAAAGCTTCAAGGGACAAAGATGAAGGAGAGGTCTCACACCCTTCAGTCCACCTAGGTAGCCATGGAATGAAGTAGGAGAAGTATGGAAATAAGGCCTAGTATCGGCTCGGCTCGATCGCCCGCCATCATATTCCGGAGGAATGCTAAATCATTTTCGAGACTTCGTACGGAAATTCCTTAGATTGTTTGGAGATGCAAAGGAGGAGTTGAGGTTAAAGTAAGTGGTTACTAGCTCGTCCCCAAAGGGAAGCTCCCTAGGTAATGTGGGGAAGGTGACAGCAACCACTTTCCGATTCTCCGCACAACATCGTCATTGGTTGACACATATAAGAGGTGGTCCGAAATCCCTCCAGCCACTTATGAATTTCCGTTCGTTCTCAATTCAGGTACGAATTCAAGTAACCCACTTCCTGTTCTCTAAGGCGATGCGCTTCCATCTCGTGGCCCTTCTCACTTTTCCAATTGCCATTTCCTCAAGCGCTTCGACATCATTTGACTACATAATAATTGGTGGTGGCACTGCTGGCCTTGTTCTCGCAAACCGTCTCTCCAGCGATTCTAACATCTCAGTCGCGGTAATCGAAGCAGGTGACTCAGTCTTCAACAACCCCAATGTGACATCTGTCACGGTCTTTGGTCTCTCCCTGGGCTCCTCAATCGACTGGTCGTACATCTCTAGACCTCAGAAGTATACGGGAAATCGTACATTAACATACAATGCCGGAAAAGCGCTCGGGGGGACCAGCACAATCAATGGAATGACGTATTTGCGAGCTGAGAAGGTGCAGATTGATGCTTGGGAGAAGCTCGGGAACGAAGGTTGGAATTGGGAGGGATTATGGCCTTATTATTTAAAGAAGGAAGCTTTCCAACACCCAACCGAAGTGCAGACGGAAAATGGGGCGACATTTGAGAGTGAGGCGCATGGGTTTAATGGAGCGGTAGCTGTGGGTTGGAGCAAGTATCTGATGGGACAGAATATGTCGGATATACTACGCCAGACATCAGAAGCCCTTGGGTACCATGCTAATTCAGATGCGAACGATGGTTCTATGTCAGGATTCACGACATGGCCGCTCACGCTGAATGCGACGACGAACATCCGGGAAGATGCTGCTCGGGCATACTACTATCCTATTAGTGGGTCTCGACCAAATCTTTGCCTCTTTCTCAACACTACAGCGACGCGAATCGTGTGGGAAGATTCGTCTAAAGATTCGATAATGCACGCTCGTGGCGTCGAAGTCATCACACCAACCAATTCCACCGAAACCCTGTACACGACAGGAGAGGTAATAATCTCAGCTGGGTCCATTAGATCTCCTGCACTCCTCGAAACCTCCGGCGTTGGAAATCCAGCAGTACTTGAGAAGTTCGGCATTGATCCAGTAATTCCTCTCCTAGGAGTTGGCGCTAATCTTCAAGATCAACCCAACATTGTGATATCGTATTCTTCTCCAGTCAACTGGACGGGCTATCCCAGCTTCGTCACGTATCTTACAGCAAAGGATCTTTTCGGCGCCGACTTTGATTCCATCTCGAGATCAGTCCATTCCAACATCAGCCGGTATGCTGCGACAGTCACCGCAGATTTAGGCTCCGCCAACGAAACAACTATCTCCAACCAAGAACGCCTTCTCAAACTCCAAGCAGACCTTATATTTAACTCCAACAGCACCGTCCCACTCGCAGAGCTTCTCTGGGCCCCAGGGCCATTTTCGATATCTTCTGCTTTTTGGAACCTGCTACCATTCTCCCGTGGTAGCGTCCACATTGGCGCCTCAGATCCCATGGTTGAACCAAGTATCGATGCCAATTTCTTCCAGCTGCCAATTGATGAATATGTGCAAGCAGCAGCAGCCCATCGCCTACGGCAGCTCTTCAAAACTCCGCCGCTATCGACATACGTTACGAGTGAACTTGCGCCTAGCTTTACGATAGTGCCTGAGGGTGCCGACTATGGAGATGGGAGTTGGGAGCAGTGGATTAAAGCTGGTTATAGTACTAATCAGCATCCGGTTAGCACTTGCGCTATGATGGGTAAAGAGCTTGGAGGTGTAGTGGATAGTGAGGGAAGAGTATACGGAAGTGGAAATGTCAGAGTTGTGGATGCGAGCGTGATTCCGATGCAGGTCAGCGGGCATTTGAGTGCCACGGTGTATGCTCTTGCAGAGAAGATGGCTGAGAGGATTTTGAGTGATAGAGGTAGAGGGGTTAGATGACAAAAGTGCTCCCAGAGCCCCATGACCGAGTCAGAGTATAAGAAGGATTGCAGACCTCACAACTACTATTTAAAGCATGTTCTTGTTTGGTAGGAATTGGAGTCTGCGAGGACAATGCATATGATTAGCGATTGTCGTCTGGATGTAGGGAGACTAGACGTCATAGCAAGATTATGGTGTTTTTTTTTAAAAATTTGATGTTTTGGAACATTAAAGCAACTGCATGGCAGATTGGCAATGTTCCAAGGCTGAAGCTGGAAGTAGTTTTGATACCCAAACCTCCTCATCCTGTAGGGCAGTAGATAGGGCATACACAACACTATCTTATAGATTTTGGGTAAGATGAGGCGTATTCGCGCCACTTAGGAGATGTTTAGATAGAAAGCATCATCGTGAACACCTAGACGATGGTGTTCAAGGAGGGGTGCCAAGCGCCACACCTTGGCACATCGGTCCGTCCTGAAATCCGTTCCGACGAAACTTTAGCTTCAGAGTAACCTTCACCCTTCAATCGAGTCCCCAATGGCGCACGCAAGGTCTTTTCTAGCTCCATTGAGCAGATTCACAACCTCTTCAATCACAGCTCCGCCAGAAATCGTGCGATTCGCCCTCCTCCCATATCAATCCGTCCGATGCGCGGTAACTGGCACCTCCGCGAACGCCGCAAAATACAGGCGCAATGAGCAACCGGGGTCACAGAAGAAAAAGAAGACCAGAAATACCTTTATTCAATATGACCTGAAGAAGGCAGAGCAGTTCTCGCTGGTAGATGCTATGCAGTAAGTGATGAAGCTGGACTAGCCTGAAGGAGGGTTCTGATGCGTGCCTGTCTAGGTATATCCGCGCCTTCGAGGTCGGACGTAGTCCTACGTCGTCGAAATACGAAATGCATGTCAAACTGCGCACATTGAAGAATGGCCCTGTGGTGCGGAATCGGTTACGGCTCCCCCATCCCGTCAAGACTGATCTTCGAATTTGTGTGATATGTCCTCCTGACTCGAAGGCTGCGACAGAGGCTAGGGCTGCTGGTGCCACGTTAGTTGGGGAGGACGAGATTTTCGCCCAGATAAAGGAGGGTGTAATTGAGTTCGACAGATGTCTATGTCATATGGACTCCCTACAGAAGATGAACAAGGCACAGCTAGGAAGAATTTTGGGTCCCAGGGGACTAATGCCAAATGCGAAGACGGGAACAGTGGTGAAGGATATAGGGGGCACTGTCAGGAACATGGTTGGTGGCAGCGAGTATAGGGAGAGGATGGGCGTGATACGTATGGCGATTGGCCAGCTGGGATTTACGCCCGAGGAGATGCAGAGGAATATCAAGGCATTCATGGATACTTTGAAGAAGGATCTTGCACAATTAAGCGATAGAATATCGAAAGACATACACGAAGTGGTAAGGAGGGCAAATACGAACTTTGCGAAATTCATGCTAACTTTGGTACAGGTACTCAGCTCAACAAATTCACCTGGCTTCAGTCTGAACGGCGAATTTCGGGGCGCGAACTCGATACCGACTCAGGATTTATCCCACCCATTGTAAAATGTGTCACGTGCCATGTAGCTGTAGAGATAATGTACCATAAGTTCCAACACCATCGCTATGCCGCATATGCCGTACAGAACGTTCCGTCTATGTTGATTTTAAGGACTTCAGCACCTTCACAGCCTCAGCAGCCTCGTCCATGTCAGCGTATACCTTCATGACCTTCATGACTCGAGCTGCGCCAGATACACCAGCGGATTTAGCTTGTTGTAGTGCAGTGCTTAGATCCAGTAAGAGAGTGTTCCTAACCTTCGTCATCCGTGGTGCTTGTGACGTGATAAATGGATGATCCTCCCCAATCCCCTTTGAAATTTCCTGTATCAAGAGATACTTCTGGACATGTCTCCGCAATTTGGAAACAGACACCAAGTACGATCCTTCCTCGTCATCGGAATCCTCGTCGCTATCAGAGAAATCGTCATACCCATTCGTCATGGCCGAATTGCCAGCCGTCTCAACCATAAGTTGGCCTTCCAGCAGCGCCAGCCTAGCTTCATAATCCACCAGCGCCCTCCCGACGGCAATTTGTTTCCTGATGGCAACCCTCTCATCAACCAACTTTTTCATGCACTCCTCTCTCTCCACGACCTTCGCCCTCACACTCTCAACCTCTTTCCTAAAAGCTAGTAACCCCACTCGCACCTCCTCAACCCTCTCATCCCCACTCCTCAAACTACGTCCCAAGCCCAAAAAATCCTGATAATTCGAGTTCACGAGGTCGAGCAACTCTTTGCTGAGCAGCTGGCTGCGAGATCGAAGCTCAGACCGCAGGTCCTCGAGCGTTTGATGGCGGTTACGGAGTGACGAGAGATAGTTCGAAGGCGAAAAGTCCGGAGTTAGGAAGTCGCTGCGCTGGAGAGGCGCTGGGAAGGGAAGCGTGTCATCATCATCGTCGGAGCCGGCGGAGGAATTCGAGTCGCCGAACTGTCCAATCAAGCATTAACACAAACCTCAGGGATGTGTGGAGGGGCAGCAGAAGGGACGTACGTAAAAGCGACTCATGGTGATTAGGTTCAAGCCATTCCGGTGCAGAGCTGGTTTGCTTTCCGAGTGGGCGAGAGAGGCTGCTGAGAGGGCGGCACAGGCCTTTCCGTTTGTGGGGGATGGGAGCTTGGACCAAGCCAGCTCCGAAGCTCGGAAAAGCCGACCGAGGTGGGCTGCCCAGCGGAGTTAACCTTCAACCTGTCATGGTTGTCAGTGTCATGGTTAATAATCCAAATGCCCCCCTTTGGTGCGGCAGAAGATACGTTGTGCAGGTAGGATTGCTTTCTTGACATCAACATTTCCTACTTGTCTCTCCAGCTATTGCTCTGCTCTCTTCGTTGGCTTTGTACTGTTCTGTGTGCTCGAACGGACTTTTAGACGGATAGGCCCAGTTAGCAGTGATGCCCCTCCCGCAACCTGACCTCCCGGAGCCCGCCCATCCAGATATCGACTCAATGTTGAGCCGGAAGTTTGGAAAGGAGATTGCGAATTACTTCTCCGGTGCACCCAAACCCATTCTCTCCTCAACCCCCAAACACCCCGCAGTCTCAGTATTTAATATCCCACAGGCTCACCACTGAACCGAGTATCCTTCCTCCGCCCGGACCACGCCTTCCTCTCCCTCGCCTTAAAGCACCCGTCAACATCCTTTCTTCTCTTTAATAAAACCGAGCCTCTAATCAAATCTCCCACCGAACTCGCCTACGCCAAGTTCAAAGATGTACAGCCGGTTATCGGAAATGATCCCTTTGAGAAGAGTGAAGAAGACCAAATTAAAGAGTATAATTCCGTGGCGTATACGCCGCAGTTAGTGTTTCTAGGCTTGGACGAGAGCAAGGAAGGATTGATATATAAAGAATATTACAAGGGCCAGCCGTACTTTGCGTTGGATATAACACCCAAAGAGAGTGTCACCGAGGCGGCGGAGAAACTGATCAAGGATGTAGAGGGGCAGGGAATGTCGTTTTCGAGGGGGCGGATGCATTTGTCACTACCGGCGCAAGAAGGTATCTACCCCCCACCCAACAGCGCGATTTCCGACAGGGCGATCATTGATAAGTATTTGTATAAGCCGCCATCTACGCTGAAGCCCGCCACCTCCTCGACTGGAACGCCCGCAACCCCTTTTGTGCAGCCTGCGGCTACCCCACGCTCTCTGTAAACGCAGGTTTCAAGAGGACATGTCCGCCTAGAGACCTAGCACCAATGATCAAAAACACCGCAAACACTCCAGATAAACCTCCCTGCGCAACGCGCACTGGTATCTCTAACCTCTCCTTTCCCCGCACTGACCCCACAGTCATTATGGCCGTAGTCTCCGCCGACGGCCAGAAGATCCTCCTCGGTCGTCAAAAACGCTGGCCACCATACTGGTATAGCACGCTAGCCGGGTTTCTGGAACCCGCTGAAAGCGTCGAAGAAGCGGTCCGTCGCGAAGTATGGGAAGAATCTGGCATCCACCTCGGACGCGTAGTTATCCATTCCACTCAGCCGTGGCCGTATCCCGCAAATCTAATGATTGGGGCTATCGGGCAGGCAATTCCGGGAGGTGAGGAGATCCACTTGGGACACGATGCCGAGTTGGATGATGCAAAGTGGTTTACGGCGGAAGAAGTGAGGGAGGCGTTGAGGGTAGGTACGAGTGGGTTAGGAGAGGGCCCAGGGCCGGAGTATAAAGAGGGGGGTTTGCGGTTGCCGCCCAAGACGGCTATTGCGAATCAGTTGATGAGTGCCGTGGTAGGAGGTTTTGTTAGTGGAATGCCGATGATATAGACGTAGACGTAGATGTATAGCATCTGGGATTAGAGTTCATTGTTCATTTGCTTGATTTTAGATCTATGGAAGCACGATGTACTTGGTTAGATGTGGCGGTATCGCACCAATCAGCTTCTTCTCTTCTAGCCATTTCCTTGAGAATAGTCTATCCGCGTATCGGTACGCTCCATCGCAGAGCAGCGTGACGACCGTGTGCCCCTTGCCGAGCTTCTCCGCGACTTCCTTTGCAGCAACGACGTTCAGGCAGGAACTTGCACCCAAGTACAGGCCCTCTTCATCCAGACATCTGTAGACCATCTCAATAGTCTTATCGTCGCTGATATGTAACGAGTCGTCTACAAGATCAATGTCGGGCTGCAGGTTATCCGTCACTCGTCCCTGGCCAATCCCCTCTGTTATCGAGCCCCCAGCTCGCTCAGTGAGCTTTCCACCGCTCTGGATGTACGAATGTAGAACGGAGCCGGGCGGGTCAGCAAGGAAGGACTTCACCCTACCATTAGACTTTTCTTTCAGATACCTCGTTACACCGGCTAACGAGCCCCCAGTGCCCGTCGCACATGTAAATGCATCGACCTTGCCATCCGTCTGCGCCCAGATTTCCGGTCCGGTAGTCTCGATATGCGCCTGCCGATTCGCCGTATTATCGAACTGATTCGTCCATACCGCATTCACCGTGTTCTCCGCATGTCGCTTCGCTTGATGATTATAATTCTCGGGGTTCTCAAAAGCAACAGCCGGCACCGGGTAAACCTCCGCACCGAGTAGCCTCAGCAGATCGATCTTGCCCTGAGATTGCGTGTTTGGCATGTAAATGACCAGCTTGTATCCCTTTGAGCGACACACGTGCGCGAGACCAATGCCAGTGTTTCCAGCTGTGCCTTCGACGACCGTTCCCCCAGGCTTCAAGAGGCCTGCTTTCTCAGCATGCTCAACGACGTAGAGTGCAGCGCGGTCTTTGACGGACCCGCCGGGGTTCTGGAACTCGGCTTTTCCGAGGACTTCGCAGCCAGTTTCTTCAGAAAGGCGCTTTAGTTTTATGAGTGGCGTCTTGCCAATTGCTAGTACCCGTAAGTAATCAAGCAATTCCAATTCTCCAGAGGCGTGTCTGTACCATCAATGAGACCCCGCTGGGCAACTCCCTGCGCTCTGGAAACCAGAATGCCGTGTTGATTCGCAGCCTCAATCTGCGCCAGGGACTCTGCAGCCCGCCAGACGGATCTCGAGAAGCCCCGTGAAGCTGTACGAAACATATCTGTTATTGATATGGCAGCTTCAACTGACGGGGGTTGTCTTTTATAGTTCTAAGGTTGTTTCATGATGACGCTTTGTCAGGGTCGGCATGTGGAATCTTTTTCTCCGATATGGCGCAATCGAGGAGATGCCAAGCCTGAGTGCATGACTCGTGTCAGTCACATGATTGCGCATTGATTTGTTTACACGCCAAGCAGATGACCATCAACAACGGATTACAAACACCATCTGCATACTGCCCCTCCCAACACAACACATCACAGCATTAGAAAGACGACGATATGCCGGGACGATCTTCTGGGCGCAGCGCGCGCTCCAGCACTGCCACCCTCCCGCGAAAATCCAGCACCGCAACGCTCAAATCTGGACGCGGCTCAGCATCCGCACGCACATCCGCGTATGCCGTCGAAGTTCCCGACGAAGGACCCGTGACCTCTCTACGGACTCAGATATGTCTGATCTTTGCTGATGCGCAGAAGAGCACTGCGATGCACCGCAAGCTCGTTATCAATCTGAGGAAGATCCAGGAAGCCTGTTGCTATGAGCCCGCCGATCCTAAGAAGAAGAGTGGGAAGGGACGGGCGGAAGAGGAGGACTTTGGAGAAGCCGAGTTCAATGAAGAGGTTAGAAGGTGCATCTTGAGGGTCATGATGATCAAGAAGAGTGAGCCTGTTGGGGATCGGATCATGAGGTTTTTGGGACTGTTTTTGAAGCATGCGACTGAAAAGGGTGTGTCCACAGCGAGTGTCAAGTAAAGGTGCACTTACATATTCTAACAAGACGAACAGACAACTTGATCTACCAGCCAGAAGGCGAAGAGATGACTGCATTCCCTGAAACGCCTAGCAGCCGTCTCACTTCACACATCCTGTCCACGGTTCTAGCCTTCCTCACCGTGAAAGACAAGACTGTCCGTTTCCGCGCTTCTCAGACAGTCGCACATATTGTTAACAACCTTGATCAAATTGACGACGAGCTGTTCAATCTCATTCGACTTGGGCTTTTGAAACGCTTGCGGGACAAGGAGCCTGCCGTACGCGTTCAAGCCGTGCTTGGGCTGGGCCGGCTGGCCGAGAATGACGACGAGGACAATGACGACGAGGACAGCGACGACGATGCTGCGGGCGGCATTTTGGTAAAGCTCCTGGATATTATGCAGAATGACCCGAGCGCCGATGTTCGGCGAGCGGTGCTCATGAACCTGCCTTTCAGACCCATGACCTTGAAATGGCTTCTTGAACGGGCTCGCGATATGGACCCAGCTACCCGGCGTGCACTATATGGAAAGCTTCTGCCTGCTTTGGGGGACTTCCGCCACATGTCGCTCATTGAACGTGAGAAACTCCTGCGATGGGGTCTTCGGGACCGCGACGAGATTGTTCGGAAAGCCACCGCCCGCCTCTTTCGTGAGCGGTGGATCGAAGACTGTGCTTCGACTGCCAATCCTGTGAATGAGGAAGAGAAGAAGCCCGGCGATGTGGCACCTCCCAACATGGACGCACTTCTAGAACTCTTGGAACGTATCGATGTAACACACTCTGGTGTAGAAGAAGGTATGGCGCATGATGCTATGCGTGAGTTCTGGGATGGTCGGCCTGATTATCGTGACTTCGTCACCTTTGATGACGACTACTGGAACGACCTCCATCCGGAGCATGCCTTTGTGGTGCGCAGCCTCAATGATTACTGCCGTAATGCCGACGATGACAGACTCCAAGACACCATCGAAAGCAAGATGCCCACGCTCAAGGAATTCGCCTTCTTTATCAACAAGTATCTCAACGATCTCGTTGAAGTCGTCCGCAAGTCGGCCAGTGCGGAAGAAGAAGACCCTACCCTCCTTGAGGATGAAGAAGCACTGATATTCACTGTGGAACAACTGTTACACATTGCTTTGACACTCGACTACACCGACGAGGTGGGACGACGACAGATCTTCCGCATTATGCGAGAAGCGCTCGCTCTCCCAGAGCTTCCTGAGGAATGCACTCGGCTTGCTGTCGAGGTTCTCCGGACTGTCTGTGGGAGTCGGGAAGCCGGTGAACGCGAGTTCTGCAGTATTGTCTTGGAGGCCATTGCTGAGGTCCGAGATACGCTTGTCGACGACGATGCCGCAGAGCAGAATGCAAACGAAAGCTTCCATTCCGCACAGTCCGAAATTAGCGATGAATCTGCCACCATTGCCAAGAAGAAAGCACCCGGCGAGGAAGAGGATGCAGAGGCTTTGGAAGAGAGGCAGTACAAGGAGCTCCTTGTGTACATCAAATGCCTGCACATCGCCCAATGCATGTTGCAAAATGTCCATTCTGATTTGGAAAAGAACGACGCGTTGGTCACCATGTTGAATACCCTAGTTGTGCCAGCTTGTAGGAGCCATGATGCAGTAGTTCGAGAGAGGGGATTGTGCTGTTTGGGGCTTTGCGGCTTGCTCAGCAAAGTGAGTCTCCACTCCCCTCGTCTTCGACGATGAACAATGATGGCTAACATGAGCTGTAGAATTTGGCAACCTCGAACTTCCAGCTCTTCCTCCACTGCTTCACCCAAGGCCACGAAGCCCTACAAATAATTGCCATCCAAGTCCTTACTGACATTGTCATCACGCATCCTTCTCTCCTCTCTCCACCACCCGCCGACCCTAATACCTCCACTGACTCTTCGGCTGCCCCCGCTGTCAACCCTCTCCTCAAGCCGCTCACCAAGGCGTTCCTAAAAGCCTTCTCCTCTTCAAAAGAACTCAGCCTCATGGCCTGCACCGCCGCCTCCAAACTCCTCCTCCTAGGCGTCCTCCCCCAACACTCGGCAACCGATATCCTAAAAACCTTCACACTCGCCTACTTTAACCCGGAAACAGTATCAAACCCTGCCCTCCGCCAAGCACTATCTTACTTCCTCCCCGTCTTCTGCCACAGCAGTCTCAAAAACGCACTCCTCATGTCCCAAATATGCGTCCCAATTATTTCCAAACTGCTCATCATGCGCGAAGAACTCGACGACGAAGACGAGGAAATGGTCGGCTGGACTGTTGTTGCAGCGCACTTGGCCGAATGGACCGATGGCCGCAAAGTCTTCGGCGCTACCGAACTTTCCACAGATGGAAGCGGCAAGATGGAGATAGCTCCTAGCGCAGAGGAACCGCATATAGTCCTCGCAACCGAGATCCTAGAGCGTGCGCTCGGGAACGCGTGCTCTAAAGACGAGCGAAAGCCGCTGCTGCAGGTGATCGGGAAACTGCATATTTCGGCTGCTGCACCGAATTCGATGAAGGAGGAGGTGTTTGTTAATGAGGAGAGTCTTCGGACTTTGCATGCGCTGGCCTCGGAGGCAGTGGAGAGTAGATTGGGCGGAGATGCGACGGCGCGGAATACGCTAGCGAAACTAGAAATCACCTTGACGAAACGGATTGGCGAGGTCGAGCACGTCGTTCAAGGCCAGGACCCTGATGGTCAGAGCCAGACAGAAGCCGATGTCTCCGCCTCCGCCACCCCTGACGCTGATATTGATAACATGGAGGTTCCTGATGAAGGCGAGACCGTGATCACTGTGGCCCCAGCCATAGGGGAGGAAGAGGAGGAAGACACGCTATTGGCAGGCATGCACGCTGAAGGCACACGTATCCCTCTGGAAGCTGAGGACGAGGACGAGAGCACTGAGACTGAGAGTACAACTCAGGTGACCGTTCCTGCTGCTCGTAGTGGGCGGAGGAATGTACGGGAGACACTTACGGAGAGTGATATTATTGACAGCTTATTGGAGAGCGAAATCTAGGCTATGACACGAGAGGGTAGCCTGCATGATACATAAACCCCGGGCCTGGGGAAGGAACGGATAGGAAAGGGATAGGGTGGGAAAGGCATACCTGAGTTGTTCTTTTATTGGCGTTTGGCAAGCCTGGCTTGACATCTTTCCATTCCATCTTTCTAGAATTATAGGGTGGCGTGGATTTGGGTTCCTGGAAACCCTCCTAACGACGTAAAGGCGGCAAACGATACAAGTGCACGAATAATCAATCCTACTTCCAACATCCCACCCATTTCTATTCTCCATCCATCACAGAGATAGATGGCTCAACCTCAAGCCTTAAAGACCATAACCATTTCAACAACTCCTAACAGACTCCAATTCTATTGTATGGGGGTAGACATCGTTCAAAACACCCACGTAAACTGGGGATAACTACATGGAAAGCAATTCTAGTCAACACTTGTTCCTTGTAGAGCCGTGATCCGGGGTTTCTCTCCCAGTTCGAATCTCGTTGGTAGATGGCACGTATTTGAAAAGCTGTCATGTCTTTTGATATTTTATGTCACAAGCTTTTCACATAACGGGTATTCTCACACTCCTCGCACTCTTTATATTACTATCTTAAATTCAACGATACTAATTCTTCAAACACCAATCTCAAGAAGGCCAAGAATATGAGTAAATACTAACTACAGTGATACTGACTCTCTCGATACCAATCCCCGCAAAATCATGCATATATACCTATATCGTTTGTTGGCCGAAAATTGATTGAAGATCCTCATCCTGACCCGCTATGTATGTAGTTGTGCGTGTGTTATCATGTAGAAGAAGAGACTGAAGTTACCAATCAAAAGCAGTACCCGCCCGTAATTGATTTCCCATTGGATCCAAAAAAGCTGCCCGAGAGCTACCCATTTCCGCCAGCGCCCCACCTGGTTCTTGTGCCCACCGAACCACCCCAAACGCACGCTATGCCACTCAACTTTGTCGAAGAAAATTTCAGCGCAGATCAGAGAAGTCTCGGGGGGTTAAAATGACAGAGGTCGAAAGTAAATGTGTAGGAAGGAAAAGCAAGGCCAATCTTGGGAGAGGAAAGAACAGAGTAGCAGAACAAAAACAGGTGGTAAGAAAGATGAACACTCCTCCACGCAAATCTGAATCCAAAACCAGCAAACCTGCCTGTGCCACCGGTATCCGTACTTTTCACCAGGCTTTTAGTTTTGATCCCCCGAACACCATCAGTCCGTTGAAAGGTATCAAACTCCCGTCATCCGAAAAATCTCCAGTCTATAACCCCCGCCTCCCGTTCCATGCCACGTAGCCTGAAAATGCCACAGATCTTTACCAATCTGAATGAGAAACTCCAAAACATTCTTCGCCAGCCAGTACGAATGTAACCGTTCCATGCCAAAAGCTCTTGTGTAAGATCCATGCTCCCCGGGCTAATACCTGATATGTACGGGACTCTTACGCTGGAGACTTGCTCGCAGAATTTGAGACATCACGACGGTTATCATTCATCGACAGCCCGCCGAGACCAGTTGAGAGGAAAGAGAAGGGGTCGTTACGACCATCATTGAAGCCACCATTAGACATGCCAGCTGGCGTCGGGTACTGGTCAGCGGCGGTGAAGGCAGCTTCAGCGGAGCGGCTATCGAAAGGAGTGGAGTGCATTCCACCGTTCGGGACATATTGAGTGCCCATTGGAGGATACGGGCTCGCTGCACCAATCCCAGAGGGAAGAGCATAGGAGCTTGGAGGCCCGCCAAACTGTTGCCCAGGGAAGCCAGGACCCGAACCAAAAGCAGCAGCACCGTAGGGACCACCTCCAGGAGTGCCGCCCATCGATGGCGGCCCCATACCGAAGCTTGAGGGGGTGTCCATGGGAGATGGGAAGGCAGTATCCGCAACCACAGCGGCACCAGCACGGCTGGCACCACAGCGCAAGCACTGGACATTTTTGGCAAAATTGTGGTATCCACACCCATCGTGGCCGCACTTCCAGTCACCGGCACGGAAAGGAACCACCCCACCAGTATTACCACGCATATGGCCGCCGCCCATGCCGTGTCCGTGACCCATGTGGTGAGTAGGAGGCATCATTGAGGGGTGGTTGTACCCGTACTGGTAGGCCATTGGGTCTCCTCCAGGCGGGCCCTGGGACATGGCAGGGAACGAGCATCGGAAGCAGGCGGTTCGTCGCTGGAAATTGGAGAAGCCGCATGACGGGCAGTTCCAGTCACCGGGGCGAGGTCGGTTCTTGCTGGGTGGAAACGGTGTCAGAATATCGGCGGCACGGTCCAAGACACGGCTAGAGGAGGGAGAAACCTCAATGGCTTTCTCATTGAGAGCACGGCCATTCATGCATAAGCTCTCAGCAGCCTGGCGAAATGATTAGGGAGCATACGAGGTAAGGAGCGTAGGGTATAACGTACCTCCTCGTGGGATGAAAAGACGGCAAAGCCAGACCCTGTGGGTTTATGTTGGTCGGGGGTGCGTAGAGTCCAAAAGGCGATAGGACGACCGCCAAATTGAGTGAACCAACTCTCGAGTTCAGACTGTGTGGTGTCATGGGGCAAACCGCTCATGTGCAGGATTTTGCTCCGCTCGGAGAGGAATGCTCGGACGTCGGCACGGGCATCCATGGGCCTAGAAAGAACGTCGGGATGATCTGAAGGCGGTTGGGATTTGCGGATGAGGCCTCGAAGAACTCGTGCAAGCGTCACCGCCTCTTCCATGGCCCGTCTCGGGGAAGCAGGAGCCAAAGCCTGGAGGTGAAAGGGTAGGTTGTGTTTAATTGGCGCCGAGGACTGGACAGGCTCAACCTCGAGGGCAGCACATATATTGGCGAGTGCACTTGACCCAAAGGGCAGCGACTCCGGGTGGTGGGCTTGCCAACGCTGATATTCGGTGCGGAGGTCGAAGGTACGGGAGTGTTGGAGATATGGAGGAAGCACAACTGCCTTATCACGAGCTTCCCGGGGCAATTGCACACGCAGATCCCAAGAGTCCAAAGTCACGAAAGCAAATTCGAGATTTTTAGGGAGGAGGTGCTCCTGGGCAAACCCGTCGAAGCGGTTAACGGCATCACGGAAGGTTCCGGCGTTGCGGACCTGGTCCCAAGTAAGCGTGGTCAAACTGGCTGTGAGAAAATTTGCGTTAGCCAATTCTCTGTGGAGACTGCAGATGGAGTGGTTCCACTTACTACACAGCGCAGTGATAGGAGTATTGACTGGTTTCACTAAAACACTTTCACGGTGGAGCTAAGTGACGTGCGTCAATATGGGTGAAAGAGTTGGGAGAGGGGGAGGCCGAGGGTCTTACTTCTTCGCAGGATTTAGCATCAAGCAGAATCCACCCTAGCTCAATGACTTCTGCTGAGTCTTTGGTCACATATACGCCGTGTTCGTCACATGTGGTCGCTACGTGGATGACGACGTACCGCTCGAGAGCGGGTGTCTGATTTGGTTGGGCGGGCATAGCGTTGCTCATTGTGAGTCGACGATGATGTCTCAGTTGTCTCGAATGGATAAGTGACGGTGGTGAGAGGCGCCGCTGTTGTTGACGTCAAGATTGTAGCTAGAGGAAGGTGTGAGGGCGGAGGTGGAGAGGGGGGTGGAAGGAGCGGGTGAGGGCGAGGAAGGAGCGATGGAGGTGAGGACGTCAGCGGATAGCAGGCCCTGGACTGAATGGAGCCACTTGGACGGATAGCAGCTGTCAAAGTGCTAAGTACCTTTAAAGGTGAGAGACAGGCGATGGGCCAAGTGGGTGGTGAAGGAAGAGTTGTTGTGAAGCGCGGAGGATGAAAAAGGCTGCTTGCCCAACGGTGCAGATGCAGTTCCACGGCTCCTCGCTCCTTGGACTCGTCACGGCTTGTTCCAAAGCAGATTATTCTATGGTTTCGCTACGAACGCTCGGGAGAAGCTAAAACGGCCCAGCGATGCTGCTTGGCCGGGAGCTGGACAACCGTGCTGCAGGCCATGTCATAGCACCAAAATACAGCCCTTCGCCGCCCATAAATAGGCGCAGCGTCTGCCATTCCTCCGTCAATTTTTTCGGCGCCCTCACCTTGGGTGCATATCCACCAGCGGCGAGGGCTGCAGAGCTGCACCTTCCGTGCGAATGCAGCGGGGGCAGGAGCTCTCTCCTCGCTCGGCAGGCATGCTCCGCCGCTGTGATTGGCACTCTGAAACGCACCAGAACACCCTCTGAATGACGGCACGCGTCTTGTCGAACAGCTTCCGCGTGGTGCTTCGCCGCCTCGGTGTACCACCATGTGCTCCCATCGAGTATTGATTGATAAATATATGCTGTATCGCTACTGTAGCTTTTGATATAACTTACCTATTCAATAATGCAAGCCCACAGCTCTGTGTCTGTTACTATACACACATTGGAAACAACTACCTCGGGCGGACAGCGCGGGGACACTGCAAACCGTGGGCAGGGTTCAAGGAAGCTGTCCTCCAAGTCTGCTTCGCTGGCTCACTTGTTACTTGCCAGATGGATAATTCGGGATGTGCCCCAAGTGGGCACGTATCTGGCGCTGCATATTGCCCCTTCAATAATGCAGCAAGCCCTTGGACAGCACAGCCAGACCCAAAAGAAAGGTGGTGACAGCCCAAATCACTGTCTTATAAATTTCTGTCTCCTTTCATGTCCACACTGGCCGTGGCTTACCCCTGGCGATCAACGTGACGGCGCTAACCCTTTCTGGTGAAACCCCGTGACGTCTAGCCTTGCGTTGCCATTCACCAACGGCCACCTCATGCCTCCGAGGGCTCCCACCGTTAGGGAGCAAACCGGCACCTAGTGGATGACACGCTTGCCACACTGCTGGTTCTGCCTCTGTCGCACTCCTAGCACGCTGGCTGGCTGATGATTGGTGCTGCTCACGACCCTGAAGAGTACTAGAGTTCGGGATTCTCATTGATATGTGAAGCTGTGAGACTCCCTTTTCACTCTTCAGAGGGTTTGCCCCCCCTTGAACACATCCACCTCTCATCGTCTTTAAAACGCCCCTCAGGCGCCACGCAGCGCGTTTACTCGTTGGCCGCGTGACACAGTCGCCGCATTGCCCTGATCGCACCGCATCGTGGCCTATCCCCAATTCATTTCTCTTCGTTCCCGGCACAAAGCGCATCGTCCAGGTATCTGGTTTCTTTATTGCTGCCTCAGAGCCGCAGCCGACGATTCGCCGGGTAGCAGGCTGTGAATGAAGCATGTCTCGGCATCGTTTCTCGTCGTCCCCGCGGGACGCGGAGCTCCAGCATCACCGCAAGTAGGTAGCAGCAGATAATGAGCTCGGGACTGCCTTGTCACCCACCCTCGTCCACCCCTCCTCCGCCACCGCAAATCTGCCCGCGCCCACAGCTCATGCTTAATTGCCCAATCTAATCTGATCAGCAGTTCACTCTCGTGTCGCATCATGGGTTTCATGAAGCGTTTCCGCTCCAAGCAGAAGCTCAAGGATAAAGAGCATCCTCAGCTCCGCAGCTACGCCTACGAGTTCCCCGCCGTCTACACCGGCCCCGACTGCACCGCGCGCCTAGACGACAAGATATTGCGCCGCATCCTGGAATATGTGTGCCCGCACGCGATTGACGACAGCTACGACGCGAGCGAGCTCTTCGGCACTGAGGGCTGCATGACGTGCGACACAAGGGACCTGGCCCACTGCGCCCTTACCAAACGACAGTGGTATGGAGTTGCTGCAGGCCTTCTGTGCGTCCCCACACCCTTACCGGCGTGGGATCCATGTGCTGACCGCCGGTAGATACAAGAGCATCCGAATTGATGCCGTTCACTATTGCGAGCTCGAGGAAGTCTACGCCGAACAGCGCCGCCGCAAGTCGCGAGGCCATGACCCAATTGATCCCCCGACAGAGCGACTGCGCCAGCTCTGCCGCACAGTGCGAGACAATAGCTACATAGCTCAGAGGGTCCACTTCCTGAAGCTCCCGTACATGACCCGTGAGGGCTGCAAGGCTGATCTGGCGCGAACGGTCTCGGTCCTGCCGAACCTCGAATATGTCGATCTACCCGATGGCTTCTTCACCGGCGAGGCTGCATCTCACACACTGAGGCAGGAATTGCAGGCGCGGTGCCCGCGTATTCGGAAGATGCGGTACAACGAGGGGAGCGAACAGCTGCTGGAGAGTCTCTTGCAAGGCTACTGGAGGGAGCTTCGCGTGGTGGAGATCTCAAAGATTCAATTTGAGCCGACTGTGCTCAGGCGTATCTTTGGCCTTCTCCCATGGCTTAGTGACGTCTCGTTCGAGCATCTGCCGTGGCTAGGCGACAGCATTTTCCACTCCGCTGCCGGCATTCCCGACTTCCCCGCTCTCGATACTTTGACGCTGAAGAAAATCAGAAATGTCACACAGCAAGGGCTCGCGCAGTATCTATCGACCCCTCTCTGTCGGGACACTTTGAAGACGATCAACATCAAAGACTGCGCTGGCATTCCAGTGTCAGCTCTTCATAGCATACTCTGGGCAGGGACAGGTCTCGAGCACATGACTTACATTGCGACGGTCTCTGCCGCTCTCCCAATCGATCCGCTTCCACCACTTGCCTCCATCTCCCTCCGCGTCCTAAACTTCGAAATCACCTCCAGCGCTTCGAACCAGCATTCCATGTATCCTCCGGCCGCATCGTACTACCAATACCTCACCACATCCTTAATGTCAAGCTCCCTCCCCACACTGCGCCAGCTCTACGTTCTCGACCCCGATTTCGCCGAATCCCTGACCTTGGCACCCCCAATTCGCCCCTTTGCTGATTCTCCACACCACACTCCTCGTGGCTTTAACCAGCCGCTTGAAGTGTTCTCCAAAGGTCTCGACGAACTGGACTGGGTATTTACTTCCGTCATGCCTGCTGACGCCTACGGTCGACGAGGCTCCATGTCAGGAGGCCGTCCGCTGAGTAGCTACTCGGCTAGCAAGGGGCTCGGGCCGCAATGGGGCGGCGAGTCTCGGAAATCTATTGTCGTTCCGAATGGATTTGGTGGGTTCTTGGCAATCCCTGCCGACGATGAGCGCCCCAAGAGCGCTGGCAACATTAGTACCTCATACCACAATGGCACAGGAAACCGGGGGAGTTGGTTCACTCATACTGGTAGAGAGAAGAGAGGCTCGCGGGCGGATCTCTGGCGTTAAGATTGGATATTACGACCGCGGTAAAAGAAGTTTACTTGCAGATTCACGAGGATGATTTGCATACCTGGGCAGTGTGCTAAATCTCTCCAACTCCTTTGGAAAAGGCAGGCATATACTGGATTGGCACACTATTTCCTTCTGTTTTTATGGGCCCATCCCTTCAGCTTTCCAGCCATCCTTCGCTGCTTTCCCTTTTCTATTCTGTTTAATACCCCTTTGCTTACCTTCATTGCAAAATCGCCCAGGTGGGCAATCCAAAGTTCCCTCTAGCGGTGGCGAGTGAGACCAGGTTGCCCAGTTCTCTTTATACAACTTTTCTTCTTTTCTTTTGTTCTTTTCACACACACTGGCTGGTGGGAAATGGCGGGTCGGGATGGCATGACATGGGAACGGCAATGGAATAACGACAACTACCATCTTAATACCTACAGACTACATGCAGATGATTGAGCGTGCTAGAGAAGAGCAGGGATGAGACGAGAGAATACGACCAGATGTGGGCGGCAAATCTTGTATACTAGACTTTTTCGTATCGCGAAAATGCAAATGCAGACCACAGTATCTTAAATGCTTTGAGAGCAGAGCTAACACGCATGCATTTGTAGTTGAGATGGATGCATACAGAATTTGGAAGTGGAGGGGGAGATTTAGGGCGTGGTAGTAAGTATTTCCACAAATATCAGGTACGATATCCTATCCCGTTTCCTTCCCACCTACACACCTAGTTAATACACCGCAGCAGCGGCAGAAACATCCTCATCCATCCAATCCACAAGACACTGCCCCTTCCTCCCCACAACCTCCTTCAACCACTCCACCGTCTCTTCCTCCTCGCCATAAAACCCCGGGTGTCGTGCTCTGCAGCCGATATTCCTCGTCCTCCCATTCAACCTCTTCACCCCTCCTATCTCACTCTCTCCAGCATCTGCACCCCTCCCTCCTTTCCCAAAATCCACGTTCTCAATTTCGCTGTCCGCATCCACGTGATGAAATAACTCGGGACTAATCGAATAGCACAACCAACCATGATCACGACATGCCTCCAGGATTCGAACGTCAAAGGCTTGGCATCCGCCCTCCCCTTCCGTGGCATAGGAGTCCAGGATGCGTTGCGCGGAGGCTCTGGTTACGGCATATCCGAAGGTGCAGAAGGGGGAGTGCGAGCGGTGGGTTAGGCGAGTGGATTCTGGGACGCCGAGGACGCCGAGAGCTTGGCTTGTTGCGGGATAGAGCGAAGAGAGGGGTGGGACCGATGAGTCTTGGTAGGCGACGTGGGCGTAGGTGGCGAGGGACGATGGGGGAAGGAAGTCTCCACAGTGGCCGAGGTAGAGTATTTCCCAGGTGGACGGGTCACTCCAGTAGGCGGTGGATGTGGATGGGGAAAAGGGGTGCGGGGTGGACGAATTAGAGAGGAGGTGCCGGATGGAAGATGCGGCAAGTGGGATTTGAGATGAGAGGAGTCGGATGTCCCAGTCTACATCGTCTTCGAGAATGAGAGCTGTTGTGAGGGGCGTGGATAAAAACCTGGTCGGTTAGTTGAAGATTTAGAGATGTGAGGATTGGTAGTCTTGCTGGGCGTTCCAATGCGCGGCAAATTACAGGTGCAAATAGTAAGCTGCGATTAAGAAATTGATGTCGTGCTAGGGATGTGAGAGAGAAAAATATCAGAAGTAGTCAGGGTGAAGCAGAAAAAAGAGCGGATACAATACCAAATCAGAGATTACTATGTATGCATCGCAGACTTGAATTCGGGACGGAAAGGACGAGGCATTGGTGGTAATGGCTTGCAGAGCTGGGAGAGAGTGGGAGAAATACCATTTGAGAGCATTCAAATGCCCCATCCAGGCCATAGCAGAGCCCTTCGAGATCCTTGAGCCTTCTTTCGCCCTAAAAGCCCGCACATCTTCATCGGTCCACGTTGGCTGTTCCGGAATCGTGATATCGAGACCCGTTAGATTGGCAGCATAGAGCAGATCGTTGCGTCTTGGTGACTTGGCGGAAGATACGGCGATGACAGCGCCAAACTGCAACAGACGGTCAGTTTACATCATTAGTAGGCAATTAAAACATTTTGGTGGTTGATGGATTCCTACGCCCAGTGTCGCGTTCGCAGCTGAAGTCGACGGTGCGTTCCCAATTGGGAATAGCGAGCCGCGAGTGCTGGCATAATGCATGAAGGCAGCGAAAGAGGCTACAGCAAACAGGCCGAGAAAAAGCACATGGCGCTTCTGCTGCACGTCCATGGCGAAGGGTTTGTCTGTGAACAGCCTGATGGCCTCGACAGCTGGTGCTGCTGTGGAAATTGGAGCAGTCTTTGGCGCGGTAGTACTGTCCACTGTGTTCTCAGGACACAGCTGTTTGGCTGGTTTGCTGCCCACCACCTGGGCACAGAGAATGGCTCGGTGGCTCCCGACAACCGTGTATGCTTATTGCTGGCGCCTGCCAACTACCCCCTAACGCTTCGGGGGTGCGCACCTCTTTAATTAAATGGGCTCGTGAACCCGGCAACTGGGTGCCAAACGACTTCTAATTAATCCTGAGGTAGATCGTGGCGGATTTTGCTCTGCAGGCTCAGTGCGCGCTCCAGCTCCCCTCCTTCGTCCACATTCATGATCCTCCACGCCAGACCTGCGAGCCTGCTGCACTCCTTACTGCGCTCGAGGCTCGCACAACATGGCGGCCGAAACATCTCACCCCCCGCCCGAGTCGGCGGCCAAATTCTCTAGATACAGAAGCGTGCGTCGCGCGCAGCAGCAGCAGCAGCTTGAGCACTTGACGCACGACCAGGCGACACCACCGATACCCGCCATGCCTCCAATCGAGCCGCAGAAAGACGCGACCGTCAGCAGGAGCATGTCGCGCTACCATCGCCGGCCAACAACATCTCACTCGGCCACCCACGCCGCGCCGTCCGTCCGATCTAGTACCGAGCAAGTCCCTCCACTTCCAAGGGTCGCTGCTTCGACCTCGACCTCATCTTCGCGCAACCGCGCTCCCAGTTCCCCCCAGGCCGTACACAATGGCCAGCCCAGACTCCCAAACACCTCCAAGGCACGCACCGAAGCCACCCCGCTGGTCGAGAAGAGCGCCCGCGGATACGGCCCGTCCCAGGCTGCGCGCGACGAGGCAAAGCAGCTGATGCAAGCCGAAGCAGAACGGCACCGGCGAATGCAGGAGAAACTTAAGGCTGAAAAGCGCGCGAGATTAGAGGCAGAGGAGGCTGAGCGCGCCCGGTTAGAGAGACTGCGCAAAGAAGAGGAGGAGGCCGAGCGCCTGCGGGCACAACGCGAGGCCGAAGAGGCAGAGCAATTGCGGCGGCAGAAGGAGGAGCAGGACCGCGGCAAGCGATTACAAAAGGCCGAGAGCGCGAGTCGCCTCAAGAAAAGGGAAGAGGAGGAGCGCAAGGCAAAGTATGAGGAAGCGGCACGGAAGACACCAGCATCTCCACCCGTTTCACCGCCGAGGCATGGGGGGGGCTTTGGCTTATTTAAAAGACGAAAGGATGATGCCCCTGGGTCGCCTGAGAGCCCTGCGAAAACAGGAAGGCCACGCCAGACGAGCAATGGGAACCGTGAACATGATACCATTAGGCCTGGAGGGGGGGGCGCAGTGCTTGGCATCGACGCTCCAATCTCTGCTGTGAACGCCGGTGATAGGGTATAGTTGGTCTTGCTCCTGCCATGGATGAATGCTAATCCGTGCCATAGCGTGTCATGGTTGTGTGCAACAAGTCACACATCCTACTCCCTGTAACTCCGACAACTACGCCACTGGACCTCATCAGATCAGCAGCAAACTGTCTTACAGAGTCCATCGACGTTCGGACGGCTGTCATTCTCGAATCGTTTCAGAAGGTTGGCTTACAGCGACCCTTGCGGAATTATGAGCATGTGCGAGATGTGATGAACTCCTGGGACGATGACAAACAAAACGACCTTTTGATTTCTGACTCTGTAGGCAACAGCATCAATCAGCAGGATCTCCTGGCTTCGCAAGTTCCGGACTCAAAACCAGAAGGCATGGGGTGCTACATCCACTACTCTTCAAAGCCTGGAAAGTGGTCCAAGCGCTACTTCACGCTTCGTTCCGATGGACAGCTAGTTATGAGCAAGAGCGAGACTTCAAAGGATCATGAGAATATATGCCATCTCTCCGACTTCGACATCTATTCACCCACGGAACGCAAGCTCGCCAAGCAGGTCAAGCCACCAAAAAAAATTTGTTATGCAGTTAAGAGCCAACAGAAATCCAACATGTTTATGGACGAGTCTCGGTTTGTCCATTTCTTCTGCACGAATGACAAGCATACAGCATCGTTATTCCATGGGAGCGTGCAAGGCTGGAGAAGCTGGTACCTTAAGCATGTAATGGGTGAGGGCCAAAAGAAATCGAAAGCCGCAGACCCAGCAGCATTGGCCGGATTCTCGTCCAATCGGAATGTGTCGGGGAGCACTCCAAAGGACGTCGGGTTGTCATCCCATGCACGAAACGCATCTGTGGGGTCTCATTATCAGCTGGGCTCATTCATGCCATTGCTGGACCTCGATCAATTTGGCAAGGACTCCAAAGATGAGGAAAACTATGTCCCAGGATCATTTCCAGACGACGCACCTCTTGCTCGGATGAATACCAGGGCTATGCATGCGAGGAAGATGTCCACTCGAACGAAGGGACCACCACCATTGTCCTACGGCGTGTCCAATGTTCCTAAAGACAACCCTTCCCCAACAGCTCACCGGCTGAACTCTCTCACGCAGAGTAACTCTTCACATGATGAAAGCGATACGTTTGCTTCTGGCGGTCTGCTTGGTAGGACTTACATTCAACGACAGAAAACAATGCAGGAACGCGAACATAAGTCTTCAGGGCCATCAGGTGCATTCGCTGAAGGGTCTAATCTCCTCAACAACATCAACACGGCTTATTTGAACTCTTCGAATGGGGCCTCCGGCCTCGGACGACAGTCCTCAGTCAGAAGCACACATCGACGAACCTCCAGTGATATTCAAAGAAGTACATCGACCCGGGTAAAACCAAAGCCTCTGGTTGACCTTACCCCCCAATATCGCGAGCCGCCGCAGCATGCCAACAAAGGGAAGGGTTTTAACGTGTCGAGCGCAAGCGGACCTCTCATTGAAAATGCAACATCTATAGAAGAAGCTATCAAGATCCCATCTTCTACCGACTGGCGCGCTCGGCCCACTACTTCGGCGGGGCGTCAGACTCACGGCACGTACGGAATTGGTCGACATGAGCGTACGCGCTCACTTCGAGGCGGTCAGAACGGGGAAGGACTAGCGGCGTATACGGTGAACAACCATTCGGGGGCCCCTGAAGACGACAGCAATGCATTCACGGGCGGTGGACTTTTGGCTCGAGCAAAATTCGGGCAGGGTAGCGTTCCTGTGGGTCACGGGGTTATGGATGGATCAAAAGCGAGGGGACCTATGCTAGATTTGAGGGAGAATAGCAAATTTGCTTCGGGCAGTTTGCTTGCAGGAGTTGAGCGGAAGCAGGGTCCAACTGGCCCCGCGTTGGATCGAGATAAGCGGCGGAGTGTGGATTTGGGGTAAATGGTATGAGGAGGAAGGCAGAGATACGGCGAGATAGCGTCCGGAGACGCATGTGAGCATTTTTGGAGTTTAATATCCCAATGGTGGAGTTGGGGGAGTGGATTGGTACGCGTCTACCTAGGTCTGACAGTGGCGACCGCATTTTTGGGCGTTATATCAGGGTATGGGGTACGTTGCATCGGAGGCCAGTCTTCCAATTCATCTAAGCTATCTGCAGATGCTATCTTGGTGTATTCCACCCTGCATAGGCCCCTAGAGGACTAGCGACGGAGGAACCCCTGACGTGCTCGTCCACCCTCGACTCTGATGTCTACCGCATCCACTTCTGCTCTGAGGCACCCGTCTTGGGGGCACAGCTCGGTGGAGGGCAACTAACGGGTGGTTGTCAAATCTCAATGGGAGCCCCGCATTCAGTGGGTTTTCATGCAAAATTCCGTCATGATGGACGGTCGCTTCGCTAAGTCCGCCTTCGTTCCGTATCGCCAACTTTGCAAGCGTCCACATGCTCATGAGAGATCGGATGACTTGTGGGTGCACCCTCACCACCACCACCACCACCACCACCACAGGCTTTTCACGGTCTGTGACCTTAGGTGTTTTCGCGGCCAACCAGCGTGGCGCTCGCAATTAATAATAAGTCTAGCAGCCGTCGTGATTTGCTAATTGCAGGCGCAATTTGGCGACGGCTACCCTGGAGCACTAGTGTGACGTAATTGCAAGGGTGCAAAGCTCTCTTCCTCATCCGGGCCTAGTACATCCCAGCCTCCAGCTCTCCGCCTGCTCGCATCAAACAAAACGGCGGCACAGGCTCTGGGCTGGTGCTGTTGCCCACATCGCCCGCGTCCTCTCCGCCTCCTCTAACATTAGGGGCCCTCGCCGCATCCACACAATCCTCTCGGAGTCAATTACGTCTCATGCTAAGCACTTGAACGCCTGACGCCGCCTGGTAGCAAATAGGAACTCTTATCTTCCAAGCTTGTGCCGCCAACAGCTGTTATTTCCCCAAGCTTTGAGCTCACAGCTCCATCGTTTCGATCAGTCCTCAGCTCGGAAACACCTGTTCTAAAAACTTCTGTTCTGAAAACACCCTCCTTCACCTTCTTTGTCCCCTTTATCCTTCAGGAGCTGTCTGTGTCGGGACAATGGCCGAGACACCTGCGCGCGATGTCAACAACCACATCCTCTTCGAGGTCGCCACCGAGGTCGCCAATCGAGGTACGTCTGGTCCAATTGTCAAGCTCGAGGGCCGGAAAATTCTGACGCGCAGCAGTTGGCGGCATCTACTCTGTCCTGAAGTCTAAAGCTCAGGTGACCACCGCCGAATACGGCTCGGCGTACACCCTCCTGGGACCACTGAACCGCCAATCGGTAAGCTCGACTATAGCAATGGCTCGCGACGTATCACTGATGGAATTTGAAGGCTGCCGTGGAGGTCGAGGAGCTTCCACCAAAGGACCCAGCACTTCTTGCTACCATCCAGTCGATGAATGAGCGGGGCATCAAGACCCTGTATGGTAGATGGCTTATTGACGGCGCACCCCGAGTGCTCTTGTTCGACACTGGCACCGCATACGGATACCTAGATGAGTGGAAAGGCGACTTGTGGGCAGTCGCAGGAATCCCCTCTCCGCCTGGAGACTCGGAGACCAACGAAGCCATTGTCTTCGGCTATCTAATTGCTTGGTTCTTGGGAGAGGTGAGCATATGCAAGATTGCTCGCTTGCCCTGCATGAAATACTAATTCAGGCGTAGTATGTGTTCCACGAGAAGAAGCGAGCAGTCATCGTCCAGTTCCACGAATGGCTTGCAGGCGTTGCCCTGCCTCTATGCAAGAAGCGGCGCATCGATGTCACTACCATCTTCACGACACACGCCACCCTCCTGGGTCGGTATCTCTGCGCTGGCTCTGTCGACTTCTACAACAATCTCCAGTATTTTGATGTGGACGCGGAAGCTGGAAAGCGTGGCATCTACCACCGATACTGCATCGAACGTGCCTCTGCGCATGCCGCCGACGTCTTTACCACTGTCTCTCACATCACCGCCTACGAAAGCGAGCATCTCCTGAAGCGAAAACCGGACGGTGTGCTTCCCAATGGTTTGAACGTGAAGAAGTTCTCGGCAACTCACGAGTTCCAGAACCTGCATCAACAGGCCAAGATAAAAATCAACGACTTCGTGCGAGGCCATTTCTATGGTCACAATGATTTCGATCCCGAGAACACATTGTACTTCTTCACGGCCGGACGCTACGAATACCGGAATAAGGGCGTTGACATGTTCATCGAGTCATTAGCCCGGCTGAATCACAAGATGAAGAGCGCTGGATCCAACATGACGGTGGTTGCATTCATTATCATGCCAGCGCAAACACAGTCGCTGACGGTTGAGGCTCTAAAAGGACAGGCTGTCATCAAGTCACTGCACGATACCATCAAGGTCATTGAGGAGAATGTGGGCAAGAAGCTCTTCGAACGCTCAATTGCCTGGCACGAGGGGCAGTCTCTACCCGAAGATAAGGAGCTCCTGTCAGCTTCTGACAAGATTATGCTCCGCCGCCGACTATTCGCCATGAAACGACATAACCTCCCACCTATCGTCACGCACAACATGGTCAACGACGGCGAGGACCCCGTTTTGAACCAGATACGCCGTTGTCAGCTCTTCAATCACCCTTCTGACAGGGTCAAGGTTGTGTTCCACCCCGAGTTCTTGAACTCGTCCAATCCAGTTCTACCCATGGACTACGACGATTTCGTCCGCGGCACCCATATGGGTGTCTTCGCCTCCTATTATGAACCCTGGGGTTACACGCCGGCTGAGTGTACTGTCATGGGTGTTCCTAGTATCACGACAAATCTCTCTGGATTTGGTTGCTACATGGAGGAGTTGATCGAGAATGCTCAGGACTACGGGATCTACATCGTCGACCGACGAATGAAAGGCGTAGACGACTCGGTTAACCAACTATCGGACTACATGTTCGAATTCACCAAGAAGAGCAAGCGACAACGTATCAATCAGCGCAATCGAACGGAGCGCTTGAGCGATTTGCTTGACTGGAAACGAATGGGCATGGAGTATGTCAAGGCCCGCCAACTGGCCCTCAGGCGCGCGTATCCTGCAGCATTCGACGAGGACGAGGAACCTGATTTCTTCGGTACTCATGAAGTCAAGATTTCTCGGCCCCTCTCAGAGCCGGGGTCGCCTCGAGATCGATCAGGTATGATGACACCGGGAGACTTTGCGTCGCTGCAAGAAGGTCGCGAAGGGCTGAGCACTGAGGATTACATTGCGTGGAAACTACCGTAAGTATTTTTCATTGGCAATTGCCTTCAATCTGCTAACCATAGCAACAGTGAAGAAGAAGATCCGGATGACTATCCTTTCCCCCTGACACTCAAGACCAAAAAGCCCACGGGTTCCGGTGCAGTGTCTCCAGCGATCAATGGCACTGGATAAGAGCCCGATGTAAGAAGTGGAGGAGTGAGGAAAGAAGTGTGTTTAAATTGTATTATCTCTGATTCCTTTTTTGGTGCTGTTTTTCTCTCTCGCGTGGTATTGCATAGGGCATTCCCTGCATGGCGTCTACGTATACTTTTTTCAGTTGTGAATACTTGAGTAGCCTACCCAAGCGAGCATATTCGCGCTTCGATTGCTTGTTTTGATTTTGTGTCTGCGTACTGTGTCTTCTGTTTGTATTGTGCTTATGCAATCAATATAAGATTTTCAGTCACTGAACAATGGCATTCCCGGTGAGGGAGACGAATGAGTCGCTGGGAGACGGGAAGAGCCAATCGGAATGCCGACGTGTTCTTTGATACTTTTGGATGAAGGCATGCGAGGTGGCGTATGAGCGAACCCGATGCGTGAGAAAAATTCTAACCGTTCTCGGCTGATGTGACATGTCCGTAGCATGCCGAAGAGATGGCGAGGATGGACCATGGACCGGGATTGGGTTTTCATCGGCCAAGTTTGATGCGATGAAGTGGTCTAGATGAAGGCCCTAGCTTAGCGGGACTCCCAGTGTTTCCTTTTGCGCAGCCACCCATCACTCACCCTCGGAATCACCAGAGTAGACCCAAATTTTCTCCGAAGCCAGCATGCACGCCCATCGAAGCCCCGTCTTCATCTGTTCTTCCGGCTCGGTCCGCTAGGAAGGGGTCTGGCCATGCTGATACTTTCGCACCACTGTCTTTCCTCAGCTCTCCGCGTCTCGCACCATCGCTCCACTTGTCTGTACTTACAACTGTTGCATCGCATACTCTGTACATTCAGCGCATAACCCCTAGACTTCTGCAGGCCTACTACTGCGTCACGGTGTCCCAGGAGGGCGCGCCTCGTCCCTGCCATGTTCGGCCCGTGGCTCGTTGTTTTCTCATGGCTCAGGAAGCATATGCCGGGGAGCTTGCGGGCGCTGAAGCCGCGCTTCAATTTTATAACCATACATTGTAACCTTCCCCTAGAAGAGAGCATGGATATCGCCTTGATGCAGCTAACCTAATGTAGACATATATATGATCGGCATGGCGCTCCTCGGGTCCATCCTGCTGTACCCAGCCGGTAGGATGTCATACATCGACGCCTTGTTCTTTGCGAGCGGTGCCACTACCCAAAGCGGCTTGAACACGTATGTATAAGGTTCCGGACTCATGGTCCGGTGCTGAGAATGCAATAGCATTGATATCAACCAGCTGTATCTCTATCAACAGGTACGCTTCCACGGGGTCAGATCAAGGACAATGGTCGCTAATTTCGCTCATAGGTTATAATTATGCTGATTGCATGCATGTGCAATCCCATTTTCATCAATACTTTCGTCGTTTTCGTCCGCCTTTACTGGTTTGAGAAGCGCTTTCAGAATGTGGCCATGGAGGCTCGGAATCTCCGTGGTACCGGCACCCGATCAAGAACAAAGAGCGAGGCAAAGGCCGAATTGGAGAGAGACATGGGGCGCGTCGAGGCTGGCGTTGGTAATAGAGAAATCGTCGTTCTAAGGGCCTCCAATGGGCGGGTCAAGGGGGGGGGAATAGACAACGAGAAACAGTTCCAGGGTCTTCAAGAGGCAGTCCGCGGCGAGAACTCGAGTCCGGAAAGAAATGGTACAGATAAGGAGACTCCGCCTGCATCGGAAAACGGACAACCCAATGTCCCGTTCCATCGAGATATCGTTTTCGAGGATGAGGTTCGTTCGCCATCTCCCGAAGACGATTCGTCCCTCGATCGGATCCCTCAGCAAAGAAGCAAGGAGCAGCATATCGCCTTCGTAGAAAACCAGCGTAATCCTAAAGATAAGGGCGCTCTTCGAATCCCCGGTCCGCGTGACTTTGACCGAGGTTTCGTACCACGACGAATCGACGAGGACAACGATTATGAATCTTTGCACAAGGAAATTTCCAATGAAATTGATGGCCAGGGGAAGAGGAAGCGGTCAATTTCTGTGCCTCCTGTTGAACCAAACCAGGATGACCACCCCTTGAAGCAGAACATCACTATTGACGAGCCTGATCATCCCCGCCGACCCGGCGCCGGTCCTTCGGTATTTCGCCTCAATAGCAGGGCAAGGACATCCGAAACTGAAACCCCGACAACTGGCATGAATCTACGCAATAGGGCACGGTCGAAAACCCTCGCTAGCTTCCTGTCTCGAGAAAAAGACGACGATCCAATGCCATATTTGAGCTGGACACCTACCATCGGCAGGAACTCTGCCTTTGTGGACCTTACTGAAGAGCAGCGGGAGGAGCTTGGGGGAATCGAGTATCGCTCTCTCAAGCTTCTTGCCATCATTCTAGTTTGTGAGTCGTTAGATACTGCCATAAACCGTGTTCTTGTGTTAATCAATCTCAAGGCTATTTTGTTGGTTTTCACCTCCTCGGTATGGTGTGCCTGCTTCCTTGGATTGTCAGGTCGCCAAAATATACCAACATCGTCGAAGAGGTTGGAATTAGTCCGGTCTGGTGGTGAGTAACGTCATGTTCAGCTCCTTTGCCATACCACTAACAATATACAGGGGCTTCTTCACGCCAGCTTCCATGTTCAATGATTTAGGATTCACCCTCACTCCCGACTCAATGATCTCATTTCAGTTCACAGTTTTACCCTTAGTCTTGGGTACTTTCCTAATCATCATTGGAAACACAGGCTTCCCTTGCATGCTCCGATTCACCATCTGGCTATGTCACAAATGTGTTCCGCGGGGCAGCGGCGTGTGGGAAGAACTTCGCTTCCTGTTAGACCATCCCAGACGATGCTTCACTCTTCTCTTCCCTAGCAACGCAAACTGGTGGTTATTCTGGGTTCTCGTTCTCCTTAATGGTGTTGATCTCATTTTCTTCGTCATTCTTGATGTAAGCTCTTCCACCATTACGTTGAGATCTCTTTAGATGCAGACTAACGGTTCTTCAGCTCAACGACCCAACTGTCACTTCACTACCGCCAGGTTTCCGCTTCCTCGATGGGCTTTTCCAAGCCGCCTCCACCCGCACTGCCGGCTTCTCCGTCGTGAATCTAGCAGAACTACACCCAGCCATCCAAGTTTCTTATCTCATCATGATGTACATTTCAGTCTTTCCCATCGCTATCAGCATGCGCCAAACAAACGTCTACGAAGAGAAGTCCCTTGGGGTATGGGCACCAGATGATGACGATACGAAGAGTAGCTATCTCGGAACTCATTTGCGTCGCCAGCTATCCTTCGATCTCTGGTACGTTTTCCTCGGCTTCTTCCTCATCTCCATCATCGAGGGCGGTCGATTGGAAAACACAAACGACTACGCCTTTACCCTATTCTCAGTCCTATTCGAAATCGTATCCGCATATGGCACCGTCGGCCTCAGTCTCGGCTACCCTGGCGTCAACACTTCCTTCTCCGGCCAGTTCAAAACACTCTCTAAGCTCATCATCATCGCCATGCAGATCCGTGGTCGCCATCGCGGGCTTCCGTATGCACTCGACCGCGCGATTCTACTGCCTAGCGATAGTCTGCATAAGAAGGAAGATGAGGATGCGATTCGTAGAGCGAGACGCAACAGCCATGCTAGCGAGCTCCCCGATCGTGAAGGGTCGATGCGGACAGGGACGGCGAGGAGTCGGAGAGGCAGTACGGCGACGGCAGAAAATGTAGCTGTTAAGAGTAAGAGTCATACGGGTACTTTGACGAGGTTCTTGAGTGGTGCGTTGAATGCGGGACCGACTATCGCTAGGGATAGGGAGAAACGGGCTTGAATCTGAATAGTCTTTTGCTGTGGCTGGTCTGATTGTATATTAAATATTAAATAGTTTATCGATAGGTGTTTGGTGTTCGTATATACGTAAGGTTTGGGAAACATTGGGTAGAGCCTCTGAGGGGTTTGAAATGTATGCGGGTGGCTGGTCTTGCTCGGTTTTGTAGATCGGTAGGCGCGTTGGGAGTGGTGTAGCTGAGTGGTATATAAATATTGCGCCTTTTAATACCCGGCTAGCCCTTTGGTTGGTATGCTCTCCGATTCTTATACTAGCTGCTTCTTTCTTCCACCTGCATGAGCTTGATGTGCTCAATATGAGACGCCTACCTATGTATTCTCCTCCCATGAGCATGAGGATGGTGAGGTCGGTGCGCCTAATAAGCTGGCGCAACGATATGGTTGATGAAGTGCAGAGTCGGCATTGATCTTATATTAAGGCTCTCAGATAGGAACCTCTTATCCAAGCCTTGGGCTAGCCCAGCTGGGTGTACGGGATATTTAGGGAAGAATTGCGAATAAGAAGTTACCTTCTCCTTCAACCATCTTCATAAAAGGTAGGCATGCTACTTCCCAAATAAGGGGGGCAAGTCACTTCCTACACCGGCACGTAAAGTCCCAATCCTATTCCCTCCTCTCCTCCCCAAAGAACCCCTCATTACCAAAATAACCATTCCCATCCTTCGTCGTGGTATTCAGCCTCTCCAGGATATACTCCCCTGCTCTAATAGGTGGATAGCTACTCTTCTCGCCGTCATTCAAGCACGTTGGCAGCGTCTCAACGACCTCATCATAATTCACACTAAAGAAAAAAGGGACGCTGTAACGCTCCTCATCTGTTCTGTTCACAACACGATGGATTGTGGATTTGTAGACCCCGTTAGTCCACCGCATCAGGAAGTCTGCCACGTTGACGATGAAGCTGGATGGGAGGGGGGTAGCGCGGTGCCAGGAGTTTGAGGGTGTGAGGATTTCGAGACCAGGTGTCGAGGAGCTGTGAAGGAGAGTGAAGCATTCGTAGTCGGTGTGAGCGCCAAGGCCGATTTCCTCTCCTTCTCCTTCAGCTCTTTTGGAGGAAGGGAAGTGTTTACAGGGAGGGTAGTAGAGGAGTCTGCAGATGCCGCCGGGGTGCGTTGTCATGTGATCGAAATGATGCTCTGGTAGATCTAGTGATAGAGCAAAGAGCCTGAAGAGGTGGCGCGCAAGCTGGAGCACCTGGTTTACTCGTTAGCAAATACCTCCCTTAATCTACACATATATATCTCCATCCTTCCGCTTCCCTAGAACCAGACTCTAACCCACCTGACCATAATACTCCCTCACCCCTTCATAAAATCCCGGTAAATCCTCCTCCTTAGGCCACACATTCCCACATCCCACCGACCCGTCTAAATTTCGATACATCCCATCCCCACCCGTGACATCCAAGCCTTGCTCATACCCAAAATTAAACGCCTCCTTGGTCTCCAAATCGCCCGCTAAACTTGTATAATTCCCCGGCTCCCATCCATACCCCAGCTTGCTCAACCGAATATGTAATTCCTCCTTTTTGCACTGAGGTAGGAGTTTGACGAACCGTTCCGCTTGGTCTAAGATCCCCGCGCGGGCTTTCTCAGAGACGCCGTGGTGCGTGATATAGAAGAAGCCAGAGGTAGTACATGCAGTGCGGATTTTGGCGGCGACGGATTGGCGAGCTGACAGCGAGGAAGAGAAGGATGGGGAGATGTCGATCACGGGGATGATGAAATTGCTATCTGGGACCGAGGTTTTGGATCCTAGGCGGGACTGCAGATAGGTCGTGGAACGGGCTTCTTGGAGCGTGGTTAAATCGGATGGATGAGGAGAATGAATTGCTGCTGCTGCTACCATCTTTGATTGCATTTCCTTCCGGTGGTGGAAGTTAGAGAGGGAAGTAGAGGTTATTAGGAGGGGGGTTCTACTGGTCACTTGATGTGATAGCGACCTGATATGCGGAGATATGCGTGTCGGATACAGTTGCCTTAAATAGAAGGTTAGGAGGATAAGAGTAGTGTAGCTTACAGAAAACTATAGAATATTTTAGTAGTTTACTAAAATGATTTAAACCTTCTACGGCATTATTTTATGTACATATTTCGCAAAAAAAAAATTTTTTAAACCGAAAAGGGTGCCCAAACCAGACAACACAGCATATAGCTACGCCTCCTTAAGTTCGTCTTATCCTCCGGCCTAATACTACATCATGGAAGCAACAAACGAGGCTTCGCGTAGAAAGGAGAATCCTATTAATACTCCGTCCGCAGAAATTTCTCCAAGTCTCGTAAACAATTTCTCAGGGCATCCAAGCACTAATGCATACAGCCCATATATCAACCCGCAACTTAGCCGAACTTATCACTGAAGCACGAAATCTCCATGACACAACAGGAATTCATATGTAATTCCTCTAACAACCTTCTTTATGTCCTAATGATCTGAATCGAGGAAGAAGCGACAAGAGACAGTCTCATCATACGCTTTACCGCAAAGTTGGGCAACCATTAAAGCATTGTACATGAATTGAAGAAAGTATCAAGGATCCTACAAAATGATATCAAAGACAGTCTCATCTCTCGCACAAGGTAGTTTTCGCTGATACCAATTAGTTCGTCACAGTCAGCCGCTCCACGAACTACGAGTCGCTCTTTGGGGTATTGATAGCATTGAACCGCATGTGCATTCTCTCCCCTATTCGATCTCGGTATGCATAAAGCTGCAGAGCGAAAGGTAAACCGCCGCTATTCCGGAGACGTGAAGCTGCCAAAGAACTGTTGCGGAACTCCTCGCGTTGTAGCAGAACTAACTTCCAGGCTCAAAGCTTGGCTAGCGATATTAAGAGTGTGCAAGAGGAGTTTGACCGCCTGGAAGGCATGAAGAATGTGGAAACTAGTTCTTCTAAATTTGGCGAGTACCTCTTGAGTATGGTCAAAAGTATCCACTTGCCTACAGTACGGGGAAGATCTCAAACTTGTCTCGTACACCCCTGGTGCTTAGAGTGGAAATGTAACCGAGTCTTTGATAGAGCGACTGTAGAAAATAAGTTAGTATGTTGAAGTTTGCAGCGAACTCCTCACTACCGCGCGCGGATACAAAACTATATTCTTAACCCTCATGGTGGAGTTCATTGATCTTCAACAGCACGGAAGGCATGTTTCTGTAGACGCGGCGCCATCTGCATCTGACACCAGTCAGATTATGAAAGCCAGCTCCATAAGAGAGGCCTTAGCAAGAGTCCTCAATCGTCGCTATAGATCTATTTCAAATACCCAAGATCTCATTAGAGCACAGTTGTGCCGGACTTCAAGGCTCCATACTGCAGTTCAACACGTCCTGTGCTCTGAGGCGCAACAGGATGCTCGAATCCTCCGCCCGGAAGTAATATGTTCCAGTAAAATTCGTGCTATCTCTACCACCTCCTTCTCAAGATGTATGACCAGTATCACATCCCCAGCACCTAGTAGCACCCTGATCATATCATAGCTTATAAAATTGCCGTGCCCAAACACTCCAGCTATTATAGTCATCTCGCGAAACATTATTTGTTTGCATTGATGACACTCGGATGCATCGTCAGCATAGTCACACGATAGTCGGATGTGTCGGATGTGTCGTCACACGATGGCCGGATGCATCGGCAGATGCATCAGCACCATAGTCTGTTGCCAAGACCCACCCACTTATTTTGCATATATATAGACTCCTGCAAAGGACTCCTCGAGCAATACATTCAATGCAGTTCCTCATGTCTCTGGTGCCTCACATAGCTTCACATTATTGCTATCTCTTTAGCCCATCAGATTAACTATTAGTGATCGCAGTCCTAATAATTATCCAAGACTCATTTTTCTTGCAGCATGGATGCAAGGGTAAAACTCGAAGCGTGCTGTTTAATACTTGGTGTAGCAGTTCCGCTACAGGATATCAAATCTTCGTTTCTTGCTGTTGGGCCTGTAATCTGCGTGTCGATTCATAGCATCGGTGTATGAGATGAACGAATTGGCCTCCTAACAGTCTTAATACTCGAAGTTGAACTTGATGACTCGGTGACGCACGTAGTCGTCATCTAGCAGAGTCTTGTCTACATTCCCCCTAAGCTGTTTATGACGACGATGAACTGTCTCATGGCGCACGCTACCGGATTTTCTCGAGCGATACGACAGAATAGACGGTATAATCGCCTGGATCAGGTTCATTGAACTTTCCAAGACATCCACACGCTTAGTTATCACCACCTTAGGAAATTCTTGGATCTTCCGACTAATGGCGCTACTGAAGTCCGGTAATAGACACTGTAGGTTGGCACTTCCTCTACTGTGCTTTGTTTTCTTGGGAAGTCGCGTTGGCGCAGGCCATTTCCAGGTACCATAAAGTCTACCGTATAATCCTAAAACCTGCTATTTTGAGAAGAAGCGACAAGTATAATTTCTAGACTTGTCAGTGAACTCCCTATCATCCTACGTCGCTGCGCACTCGTAGAAGGAAGTACTTCGAGGAGACATGGAATAGCAGCAGCAGCGAGTTCATGGCTGCCTGGACAGGATACGTCCCCCTTTCCTCCCCTTTATTTCCGGTACCATTTGTTTCTGAGATGCTCGACACGAGAATGTGGTTCAAGTCCAAAGCGATATACTATCCCTCACCACGTAGCGAGCATCACTACGTAGCGAGCGAAATAATAGGTACCTAGGCTTTACAGTTATAGAAACCCTCCGCGCAATTACTATTAATTATTTCGCTACTTGTATTGTTAACCTAGGGTCTTCTTCTATCTCCCTACTACCGCTGCCTAGAAAAATACAAGCCTTGTCGTCGCCGCCGCGCAAATCTTACGAGAGCGTTATATTATAGCAGGGTAGGTCTCATCTCGTAGAGCCCTAACGCAGAGCCAGGCACCGTCCGTACGGGGTCTGATATCAGTATCCAACCTTATTAGCCTCAGGATTACGCTAATAGGTCTTGATCAGCCCTACGGCGGTTGAAAGAGGATGAATCGCACAATGTCGCCACGCCGATTGGTACCTCCCAAACTAAGCGAGAACCTTAGTCATGTCAGGCGACTTGAACGTATGACATAATCAGTAATGAAAAGCCGCACCTAGAACATGTGACGAGCTTGTGGCTGTGCAATCGCGTTTTTCGTGTGAGGCAACAAGGAGATGAACTACAAGATCTGTCGCGGTTTATGTTACAGCTTAGGTGCTCCTTCGAGATGTTAGCACCTCTTACCATACCAGATGACCGCACCTGCACCTGAGGAGTGACACTTTCTATTCAAGACTAGCGCTGTTTACAGCGAGCACCTACATAGCTGCCTGTAACCTCTTTCAATACTAGACAAGTTCAATTCCTCAATTCTTCTGCATGCGTATTGCCCACAATCTCCGACAAGATCCTTATTATTACACGCTAGTCGGAAGCGGTACACACAATAAGGACACATTGCAATAACAAAACGTACAGTAACTTAACTCCAATTCTAATTTAATACATCCGCGCCACTGGGCCCGCCATGGCTTTGGCATGAGTTCAACCTCTTTAGCCTGCGCGTCATTCCTTCGCATAACCTTTGGATCCAAAGGACCCACTTCGCCTTCCTCTATCTCACTTATCCACGCTACCTTAGCCTTTGGCTCTTGGGTATCTCTCATCTTATTCTTTTGCGGTCGACCACGTTTCTTGCCTGTAGTAGCTTCCCTGGCCTTCTTGGCAGCCTTCTTTGCCTCTTTCTTCACATGCTTTTTCCGTGCCTCCTTAAGGTCCTCCCATGTCATCACCCTTGCCTTCCCTAGTATTGTTGACTTTGTTGCTTAGCGAGTTTTACTTTTATTGTTTATTTTAGTCAGGAATCTATTCTGATCGCGAAGAAGGGCATTTTTGGCAAGAAATGTCTGGGCGGTATGGGAGACTTTACGTTGGAGCCTATCTCTACGTTGGATGCTTGCTTTGTCATTGGGCCCTTTGGGTACATGTTTAATTATGTTAAGCAGCCTTGCTAAATCTGCTCCTGATTTTGGCGTTGCAGGCGTTGGCAATGCATTGTATCTAGGCTGCATTGTTGTAGCATTACTTATTGGAATTGTTAGCTTGACGGGAGGTGGAGGTGGTTTGGGTATATTAGCGAGAACTTTGTTAGGGTTGAATGGGAATAAACCGCTTCCCCTTCATCCTGCTAGGATATTCATCTTGGTAAGAGCTTTCTCCCGTGCTGGACTGTATAAATAGGTGAAATGTTGCTTGCTAATAGTGTTTACCCCTCCTTGTTCTATCCGCTCAACCTGTTCGCGGTAAAATCCCTTTAGCGGTCTAAATACAGCAACATCACAAGGCTGGAGCTTGTGAGAGGTATAAGAGGGCATATGGTAGAGAGTAATGTTGTTCTTAAAGCAGAACTCTATGATTTTAAGGGTCTCATGTGTGCCGAAACCGTCCCATATGAGTATTCGTGGTTTCCCACGAGCCTGCTCTCTGGTTTGGGGATTAAAGACAAGCTTAAGCCACTGTAAGCTAATATAGGAGTCGGAAAACCCTGTTTTAGAGAACGCATACACCTAGCCAGGAGTAGGAAATGTGGTCCAGTTGGCGCGATGGGTTAAGGCAGGCCAGATAATCATCGGATTAAGACACCTACCGTCGGCGGAGATACATTTAATAGCAGTGACCATGGTCCGCTTGACACGCGCGCCTCTACTGCCGCCACGTCGGCTGCCTTGTATGTCATCCTTACCAGCAAAGACTTTGACCGAGTTAGGCATACTCAGCATAACCCCAGTCTCATCTATATTATAGACATTCTTAGGTAGAATCTCCGGGTTCTGCAGCTCCTTTCTGATCACATTAAACCAGTGCGAGACCTTGTCATAGATATTTAACTGGTTCCAGTCTTGCGGCTTCTTTGTCCTTGCTATAAGCTCTGGCCGGCGTCTCTTGAGTCTCTTAGCCCAGTTTACACCAGGAGGCTTAGGCGGTTGATCTGCTTGGGGCTGATGGCGTGTAGCACTAAACGCTATTGCTGGTATATACTTTATTTGTATAGGTTGCCCAAGAGTGTCCATATGTAACACAAAGTTAACAACCGCATTCTCTTCGCACGGCGTAAGGTAATGTTGGCTTCGGGCTTTGTCTTCTCTTGAGCGTCGTCCGAGTGCACGATGATTGAGGGTAGTACGAGGGACGTTGCTATACGCAGCACGAGCGGCGAGAGTGTCAGGTATGCCATCAGGGAGGTCTTCGGCTAGTGCTTGACTGGCTCTGTCCATATTAGCTACGGTACTTGTTAGCAATAGAGAGCGAAAGTGAGGCAGCTCGTCCAGAGGCAGCTCATGCCAGCGCAGCGACTCCAGCGGCACAGCCGGGACCGGACAATGGACTCTGGACTAAGGCTATTTTTGGCGCAACAAAGCAAACAAGACAAACTGGACAAAGACTCCAAGCGCTACGCCACAGATAATTTCACGGCGCTAACGTTCAATACCGATGGTATATTACGCTAGTCCGCATTGATCGCCGCTAAAACCGCGCTATATCTTTTGACCCTCCTACTCCGCCGGCGAACTCTCGGAATCCCCCAACAATAGCCTTTTCAACTCCAGAGCTTGTGAGTATACTGTAGTATTATTTGGGTTGTGGGCGCGCAATTTCGTGCAAGATTGCTGTCCCTATTGGTGCTTCCAGCTCTAGCGATTTCCAATCTTGGGTAGTGCAAAACGACCTCGCACGTAGTACATAATCATCGCGCTGTAACTTTGTGTAATTTACATCTGTGGCTTGACAGGGCCAGTCACTGTGTCTCCCCACTTTGCACCCAACGTTGATGCTGCAGCGTTTAGCCGCAGCAGCCTTCTCAGCTCGCTGCGCTCAAGATGAACTGCAACATTTTTGACACCACGAACCGGTCTCGCCTCCTTGCGAAACTACGTCGGAGCCACCACGTCCGCCGCACCTCGGACCGCGCGCCGCATCATGGATGTCCTTTCCGGAGCGGCAAGCGTAATAGCCGTTGTCGACATATCCGCCAAGGTCGCGTCGCTCTGCTTCCAGTACTCAGTTGCCGTTAAAGATGCAAAGGCGGACATCGAGCGCCTCTATCGAAAGGTGACCGATATCAAGAATGTCCTCGAGAAGCTCCAACAGCTTTTAGATAAGCAAGAGAAGTCGCAGCTGTCTACGACACGCAAGACCGTGGACTCACTAAAAGAATGCCACCAGCAGTTACAGGGGCTCAAGGGTCAACTTGAGCCTAGCGGAGGCCGTAGAGCGATGCAGCGGGTTGGTGTCCGAGCTCTGAAATGGCCCTTTACGAGCAAGCAAGTGGAGAAGATGGTCGTTAGTCTTGAGCAGTACGAGCATACTTTCAGCCTTGCGCTTCAGGTTGATCAAACGTAAGTTATAGCGTTCAACAGTGCAAGCAAGGTCTAACAACTAATCTGTATAGAGAGCTTATCCTTGGTGTTGATGACAAGTTAAACCTCGTCAACATGAAGACTGACACACTCCTATCGAAGATTGATGTAACTAGACTGCCTACTGCCAAAGGCGCTTCCTTTGACTCGCACGTAGAAGAACATAACTCGACATGCCTCCCAAACACCCGCACCGAGTTGCTGCGTCACATACACGGCTGGGCAAACGACAAAAACAGCAAACCAATATTCTGGCTGAATGGCGCGGCAGGCACGGGAAAGTCTACGATTGCGCGTACTGTTGCGCGGGCCTTCGCCAACCAACAACAACTAGGAGCTAGCTTCTTCTTCAAGAGAGGCGAGGGGGAGCGCGGCAACGCCACTCGATTCTTCACCACCATTGCTACACAGCTGGCTCATCGTGTATCCGGGTTAGGGCTTGGAATCAAGAAGGCGATTGAAGCTGATCCAGCTATATGCGAGAAGACTCTGAAGGATCAGTTCGAGAAGCTGATCCTCCATCCGCTCTTAGACATGGCACATCCGCCAGCCTTGGTCCTACTCGTCGTAATAGACGCGTTGGATGAATGCGAGCCAGACAATGATATACGACTGGTCCTCCAGCTCCTTTCGCGAACGAGGGATCTCAAGTTGGTATCATTGCGGGTTTTCGTAACAAGCCGACCAGAACTGCACATCCGCCTAGGATTCAAAGAATTGCCTGACGGCACATTCGAAGACCTCATCCTGCACGAAGTTGCAGAACAAACGATTCAACACGACATCCGCGTCTATTTCGAGCATGAACTGGCACGAGTACGGAAAGAACGATCGTTGTCCTCAGGCTGGCCGACACTGGATCAAATCAAGGCGCTAGTCGAACAAGCAGTCCCACTGTTCATCTTCGCTGCTACCGCGTGTCGATACATTGGCGATCGACGCGATAATCCTAGAAAGCGTCTGGAGATCATCTTGGAGTATCAGAAGGCGAAAGTCTCCAAACTCAACGCTACGTATCTCCCTATCCTCAATCAGCTGTTCGACGATGAGGATGAGGAAGACAGAGGAAGATGGGCATGCGATTTTCAGGATATTGTGGGGAGTATTGTGCTACTGGAGACTCCACTTTCTACCGCATCGCTTGCTCGCCTCCTTCTTATATCCAAGGATGACATCAGTTGCCGACTGGATTCCCTACACTCTGTTCTAAGCATACCAGACCGCGATGATATACCCGTGCGGCTCCTACACCTGTCGTTCCGCGAATTCCTCGTTGATGCTTCGAAGAAGGAGAAGAGTCCGTTCTGGGTAGATGAAATAGCAAGACACGAGAGGTTAGCTTCTCATTGCCTCCAACTTATGTCCGGCCCTAACGGCCTACAACAGAATATGTGCGACTTACAGCCTGGGACTTTAAGAAGCGAGGTTGATGAAGGGAGGATTACAAGCAATCTGTCGCCTGAATTGCAGTACGCTTGTCGTTACTGGGTGTATCATCTTAAGCAGAGCCAGCGTCTTGTTGACGACAAGGCTGCAGATACGTTCTTCCAGAAACATTTCCTTCACTGGCTTGAAGCGATGAGTCTAATCGGAGAGACGAACAAATGTGTTTCCTTGCTGGAAGCACTTTCTACGCTAGTCAAGGTATAGATTCTATATCTTTCTTACACTAATTACTAACTTGCAATACAGGCATCAAACAGTGCTCTTTCTGCATTTCTCCAAGACGCTCGACGATTTACTCTTCGATTCAGACATGTACTGCAAAATGCTCCTCTACAAATATATTCCTCGGCTCTTATATTTGCCCCAGAATCAAGTATAGTACGGAAAGGTTTTGTAGACGAAATGCTAGGCTCCATTAAGTTATTGTCAAAAAGAGAGGAGGACTGGGATGCTTGCCGCAGCGTGCTCGAGGGCCATACCTCCAGCGTCACCGCCGTCGCCTTCTCGCCGGACGGCCAGCTGGTCGCGTCCGCCTCGTGGGACAACAC